TCCATGGCCACGCCGTTAACCTGGGGCAAGGGTTTGGGCTGCATGTTTGCTATGCGCAGCTGCAAGGATTGGATCCAAATGAATCATGATCGGTGAGTGGCCGTCTGGCTTAGCCGTGACTCATTTACTTATATCTACTCTCTACTCTCCGCAGAGGTCGCTCCATACATCCCTTCTGCTCCAAAGTCAAACAGGATCCATTACAAACAGAATGCACGGACGATCGCAATTCTGTAGCGCTATGCAATCTCATCAAGCATGAATACGAGCTACCCAAGGTCTATCAGAACTTTGACAGTCTGAACAACATAAAGTCCGGTGAGGAGGGCTACTATGGCGGCTCGGTTTCCCTGGCGGATCACTGTCCTTATATACAGGAGTTCACCTGGCGTAGCAAGAACATTATAGTGCGCGGCTCCCATTGTCGCTTCGTGGAAAATAATCCTAGTAAGCTGTCGAATTCCATTTATAATGAATGAAAGTGCTGATGAATTGATTTCTATTGCAGAGCCCGAAAAGAATTTTGCGCTAGAGAGCTACGGTCATGGTTCCAAGTGCTTCGATCACAGCGAATCTATGTGGGAGGAGCGCTCCTGTCATCAGACGCGTGAGTGGCAGCATTGGGGCAGCGGCTGCTACAAATACAGTTGCTTCGATGGCCGCCTCCACATACTGGTAGGCAACTATAGCTACAAATGCTCGTTTCCGGGCCAGAAACTTTCCATACGCATTGCAGCTAATGATTGGCTGCATAAGGGCGCAATAATGTGTCCACCTTGCCATGAGCTGTGCGGCGCGCATTTTGCCGCCGAGGGCAAACAATGCCGGCCGAGCGAGGAGCCCGACCCACTCAATAAGTATCCACGGGATAATCTTGAGTGCGGCGCTGGAGCACAGCGTCCATCTGTGGCCATACTCAGCGCTGTGCTCTTAGCTGTGCTGAGCTATGCTAGACCTAGTTAAGTCCTTGAATCAGGCACCGTTAAATGTTCTATATGTTTTAGTGAAATTTGTAAATTCTTTTTGTACAATATGCTCAATTTGTCTAACTGTAAGTCGTAAATGTAATGTCCCTCACCCTCAATATTAATGTGTAGCTATATATATGTCTATATATATATTTGTATTTGTAATTGTATTTTATCCCGATATGTGATCTTTACTAAGGATATGCTGAAACGTTATATTCGAATCGGGTCCAGGCCATTTAACTTTGTTCTTATGAAAGGTTTTCAATATGACGTCTAAGCACAGCTCTTTAGTTATTTTTCTTCTGCGCTGATTCTGAACATTCCAAAGTTTTGACGTTATTATTTACGCAACGAATAGTCACAATCCCAACTATTGTCCATAATAATAGATGTGATTGTGTCTACAGCAACATTTTATTATTTGTTATTGCATCTACAAAAGTCTTTGTTATTTATTTTTTCGAAATTCGTGAATTATCTTGTGATTTATATGTCGGTTTTTTTGCCTAAGCTTGTTTCGGATGTGTGCTCGAGGCATGCCAATTTTTGGCAGCCTAGCAGCAGCATTTAGGATTTGTACAACCACCCTGAAAATAATCAATTTTCATATTCTAGTATCTAAGCTAAATTTGTGAATAAAATCTATTATATATATATGGAAATGTACAAGTATTTAAAACAATTAGACTTTATTCAAATATGTTGCTTTTGGGAGTGTGTGTCATTTAGGGGCACTCCTCCACAATCTCGTAAAGAACCTCATCATCAGCTGCCGCCTCCAACTCATCTCCGGATATGATGTCATTTGTTGGGTCTGTGATCTCCTCCGTGACCCTTACACGCATGACAGCCGTGCCTGCTTTCGCTGGTTTTTTGACACGCTTGGAACTGTAGAATATGAAAATTATATCAATAAAGGCGAATATAAAGTTGGCCCCAGTTGACTCACGCTTCGGTCAGCTCCGTGATCATTGGCAGGAGAGTGGAGCGTATAACACCACGTGCCTCTTCCTCGGCGAGCTCCTTGGGATGCGTTTTACGCTTGTGCATGCGACAATTGGAGCCATTCGAAAAGTCCTTGCCACAAAAATTGCACTTGTACGGCCTAATGCCCGTATGGAGTATCAGATGTGCTTTCAAAGTTTTGCCACGCTTAAATGCAGCACCGCAGACATCACATTTGTACTGTTTGGCGTCCGTGTGGACTAACTTGTGCATGTTAAGAGTGCGACGTGTGTTGAGCTTTAAGCCGCAAACATTGCACTTGTAATCGTTATTTGTGTGCGTGTCCGAGTGTATCTGCAAAAAAATTGGGATCAGTAGAGATACTATATGTATGCAATGCAACAGTCACCTTTAGCCTAGCCTTGTTTTTGAAACTTCTAAAACAGATCGGACACTCGAAAGGACACTCATCGGTATGAACCAGCTTGTGCTCGTTGAGTGCCGTGATTGTTTTCATGGCTTTTCCGCAGCAGTCACAGATATACGGCTTTATATTCTCATGTATCGACGATATGTGCCGCTTGAGAGCTCCGGCTGTTGTAAAAGACTTTGGACAGTAGCTACAACTATTCTCCGTCTTGTCCTTGGCATGCAAATGGGTACGATAATGGGCAGTTAACTGAATCTCTGTCGCAAAGAAGGTTTGACAGCGTTTGCATTCCAGATTGTGTTTATCTGTGGGCACCAGGCCATGAAACACGGCCATATGACGTTTATAGGCCAATTGATTCTTATAGCCTTTGCTACACGACGTGCATTTGTATTGATTGTGTCCCCCATCGACATCTTCGTGCTCTGCCATTGGAATCTTGCTGAATTCATCGGTTGCTTCGACATCCTTTTGTATATCTTCATCATTTGTAGATGTCGCTGATGTTCGTGCATCAGTTTCAGCATCGTCCTGATTAGGATTTGGCTCCAGAACGACCTGTGCATCTTCGCTTGATGCTTCCTGTTCTACGAACGTATTAAGCGTGGTTGATGCTGGCTCAAAGTACTCCTTGTCCGTGACATCTTCTTGCTCAACGTATGCCTGCTCTGTCGTCTCTTCGTTTTCGGCGTATGACTCGTAGGCGTTTTCCTCATCATGATCTACGAATGGCGATTCATCGATGTCGGCCATTTCAGCAGCTTCATCAATTGCCTCGACCATTTCATCGACAATGTATTCAACCGACTTTTCAACTGCACACTCCAAGGTCGCATCCTTCGAAACAATGTGTTTCCATTCTTCTGCTTGCAAGCCACATTCCCTACGCAATTCGTCATAGTCTAAGGTGACCTGTGATCCGGCCTGATGCAGTCGGCTAAACAGTGTTTGAACCCGACTAACTCGGTCGGAGAATTCGATTAGATCCTCTACCAGCGTGTAGCATTCCTTACACAAGGCATTACTCAGTTCGTCCTCCATTTTGATCTGTTTAATTACAAGCGATCAGCGACTTTTGAAATATGCAAAATATGACAAACATTTACATTGATCCAGAAGTATTTACCAATGGCCACGGCCAGAACGCTCGTCCACGTTTGATCACCGTTTCGGAAATACACATTTACGTTGTCCGGATGTTCTTTGGCGCAGAGTCGACACCAACGGTGCCAGCTGGATGCAACTGTGCGCGTTAGCGATTCCTCGGCTGCACTGCTAACAGTTTCACAACCCGTCATTATTTATGTTAAATTAAAAAAAAAGGCAAAATAATTTTAATATACAATTCACTATGTTGTGTTTGGTTCAACAATCGATGTTCGCGCTGGTATCGATACCTTTGGTCACCCCCGCTGCCCGAAACGACGATGTGCGTCAAACTAGCGGCGATGACTTAGCGTCGATTTTTGGTACTTTGTATCGGAAAAGGAATCGGTCACTTTTAAATGCATTTATTTATGTTTTTAAGCACAAAACCCAATAAATTTGAATGCAGAATTGCAAAAAATTAAATTTTGTACTGTCTACATTCATTTGTTTTGGAGTTTTAGTTTATAATATGGGTATACCAAGGCGTTAATTAGGTTTCCACCATTCTCTATATATTTTAATTCAGGGATAATGGCCTCAAAATCCTTGAAATAATTATAAAAATCGATCAGCATGTTTTTAAGATATTTGTACAACAGTGTAGCAACCTCGTTGCTAGCCCCATGCAAAATCTCCGAAAAAAATTAAACTTGCACTTAAACCCTAATATCTTTTCTCAGGGATGATGGCTCTCAATGCACGCTATACCAACTTCAAGATACATGTTTCGGGAAGCCCTACGCATTAATTCTAAACAAATCGGTCAGCCAGTTTTTTAGAAAAATAATAAAATGTAAACACACCTCATGTTGTTCTTTCAAAAGGCCTATCGAGCTACTAGCTCCAACGGGTACCAAACCACTGCTTGGAATCAGTGTTGAATAATGTTATACAGTATTAAGCGAGAACAAATTAATTCAAAATATTTGTATATGTGAAAGAAATGAAGTTATAAATGAAATAATTGGCATTTTACAATAAAACATTATTTTTGCTAAATAAGGCAACAATGCATTAAGTATTTATACACGGTATAATATTTATCTCTGATAATGGCCTTAAATGCACGGTAGTTTAACATATAGATCGCGAATTATCAATCATTTTGCATTTTACATCAAGAAAATCGTCCAGTCAGTTTTTAAGAAAAGATCATTTTTCTATTTATGCCCCATAATTAATACAAAAAAACTAGCTGGCAATATTTACTTAACATGTTTATTCATCAAATTGGCGGCAATTTTTAAACATATTTCTACCAAACGGTGGCAATATTTTTTTATAAAGATGCAGATGCAAAAACAGGTGGCAATATTTGAAATTCCTCATTCAGAATTGAGAAACGCGCATCAACTAGTTTTAAATACTTGCACACTAGCGATAAGAACTGCAAGTGTCAGCAAAATCAATATCGGCCATTCAAGGTGCAAAGCCCTAGCTTAACAAAGCACTGCAAATTCAGCAAAATATTCATAGATTATCAACCGTATAAAAGCCAGTGGCAATAGTGCTAATCAGTAGTTGAGTTTAGCATTCATTAATTTTCACATAATGCGTCTCTCGTACATTGTTTTGCTTGTCTGTACATTTGCCCTGGCTAAGGCCGGCACGTGGCGTCAGTCACAGGACTATAATACGAGTGACGAGGAGGTCCGGCCAAGCTGGACTCATAGGCACTCTGAGATGTGGCCCTGTGATGTCGCTGATTATCCAGAAGCCTATCTGCTGATACACAAAGTTGAGAAGCGTCTGGAGCGCATAGACAACGAGCAACTAAAAACCAGAATTGTGGACTATGTGGTGGGCCAGCTGAGAGAATGTAAGACAGGCAATGACATGGACGAGCACTGTGTCAAACGCTCCATTGGCTATGCCATGTCCTTTATAAACCGCAACAAAAGGCAACAGCTGTAATGTAATGTAAAATAAACAAGAAACTTCTTATATATCAAAATAAATGAATACATAACATAGAAACCAAACTGTAATTAATAAAGTTACTAGTGTGTCGTCTAGCCGGTTATTTGGGTAATTCCGATTCTTGTCGTTCCATCTCTATTTTGGAATATTTGCTTTTTGTATATAATTGCTCCTTAAATCGTTCCCTACGCGCGTCGTCTAACGAAAAACGACGCAGAATATCCCGCCTATCAAAAATTGACATTGTTATGTCCTGACAATCCCGTGACGGCTGACAAAAGGTCCAACTGCCGAAAATGGTGTCTATGCAACCACATCGACGACAAAAGCCCAAAAAGGTTCCCATCAAATTCGAGTTTAACTTGCGACAGGTTATCGATATTGGCCCACCTAAAGTATTGACCGCTTGACCCGTGAATGTCCATTCCGTAAGGTTATCCATCATTTCATGCGGACGTGGTGGCAGCGTCTCCTGTATGGTTACATTAAGCTCTCTCATTTGAGATGTTTCGAAGCGCTGCTTGATTTCTATTGGGGTCAATTTAACACACTGCCGCCAAAGTCGATTGGTGTCGGAGCGACGCAATTTGGGCTGGGAGCACTTCGGCTTCACTTCCGGCACAACGATCTTGTTGTCGTCCCTAATATTGATGCGAACGCTTAATAGTAGAGACTCCCAGGAGCCTGTTAATTCACAGGGAGCACCTGATACGAGTAGAATTTAAAAAAAATATGTGCATTTCAAACCTTAGTTGTCTGCTAACCGTCAGTTGGATCGGCGAAGCAGCATGGCAATTTGTCTGCTGACCCCTGATTTAAATTGGAATCTTGCATACTCTGTAGTCGATTTAAAATCTTCTCTAACATGGGCGCTAAATTGGACGCTGGTCCCTGTTGGAAAGCTACTGTGGCTGAGCCCGCAATCTTGGGGCTAGATGCTGCCATTGGTGATTGGCCTCCGTTGGTCTGGCTTGCTTTTTAAAAATCTTTGTCAGCTAATAATGTGCCAAATGCCAAACTACTTACCTAAGTTGGCCTGCAGTGGATAGGTTCCCGAGGCAATTGCCTGAACACCGCCAATGCCACTGGACGAGGCAATACGCTGAGCCATCTCCACGGGCGACACATTCAATTGCTTCGCCATATTCTCAATCATTTTGCCGCCGGTTTCTTGCGCCTGCCCAAGCTTATTGACGAGCACTTCCGGAAAAGCCAAATTGGCGGGCGTGCTATCAAAACCGCGCTTTGCGGTTTTTCTCACATTCATCGAACGATGCTTGGCCTGGAACACTTTGAGTATGTGCTGCAGCTGCTTTTGATTCTTAATAAATGAAGCGGAATGTGTCGCATTTTTATGCGAAAAACTTTTAGCGACTGGCTGCTCACTTTTAACCTTTGACTTAGTTTTGGGCGTCGCATTTGGTGCACGGCTCTTCATATTGATTATAGTTGGGTTCATCCTGCCCATGGATGCGGACAATATCTGCGGCTTAACAACTTTAATTTTTTTTTTACTTCCGGGCCTTATCAAAGGCACATCATTCCAAACCATCTGCCTGTGCTTTGAGTTCGATAAATAATATGGTTTTAGGCCGCCATTCAGCTTATTCTCATTGTTCATCTGCGTACTCGTGCTCTTCTCCTTTGTGCTCCTGCCAATTTCAGATACACACGAATTGACCACGTCGGCCAAGCTGGCACTTTTCATGGCTGCACAATGGCAGGGAGTCAGGCCATTCGATATTTTGACCGTATCCCCTTCGAATGCCAAGTTGGTGTGTCTTGTGGCCTCACAATGACATGGGGTCAGTTCCTTGGATATTTTCGGTCCACTACTGTCGACGGCCATGATCAGCGATTTGGCAGCATCGCATTGACATTGGGTCGGCTCATTGTGCTTTCCGGCTGAACTACCATGGAAAGATAGCTTCTCTTCTGTGCCAAGGGATTTACGTGGATGCTTGTGTGCCTGAAGAATACCATTCAGTTTTTTCTTGTACTCTTCATAAAGGCCGCCAGTCTTCATGCCAGGTGCCACATTGGGAGCCAAGCGTTTAAACATTTTTGAGGATCGGCCGCTAATTCTTTTGTTTTTCTCTTGATTTTGACTAGCTGGCGCTAGATTATCGTTTACATTTAGCTTAATGGAACCGATGAGACTTTCTTTTTCCGGATTCATTTCATCATTGATTGCCTTGACAATTTCATCCACCGGATTCGACTGCTTCAGATTCTCAACAACGTTCATTAGCTCGTTAAGTGCATTTAATCGAAAGGGCCTGGCCGGAAATGTATTCTTCTGCCCAAGCAAATTGTGTCCCCTCGACTCCGGTATAGGCCTTTTCCAGGCATTCACAAAATCCTGATACACCCGATTCAGTTCTGCAATGCGGAATTCAGCTGAATCCATTTGAGCTTTTTTGCCCTGAGGCCTTGCACCTCTTCCCAAGTCCTTTTCGGAATCCCCCTTTGTCTCGGAAGGCACATCAATTTTAACTATAACCATGCCATGCCTTGCCGGATTTTTCGACTTCCCCTTATCGTTCTGTTCGTCCTCCACATCATTGAGTTTTTCAATCTTCACACATTTACCATTCGCCCCCTCCCGATCACCAGTTGCATCGAATATAGTTTTTGTTCCATTTGCCTTAACTTGAAGTTCCTTACTTATTGTTGCTGCCTTCACTGTATTATTCAATCCTGTAGGTTCCTTGAGAATTTCAACACTTTTGCTAACCGAATCATCATCCTCCTCGTCTGCCACAGCTCTTCTCTTGCCTAGTTTGCCCACATTAAGTTTGACATCGGAGACACCCTCCTTCAATAGCACCCGGTATGCAGTGTAGAGCCGGGGTATATTGACTTTGCTGCCAGACATTCGCTTCAACGTGGCCGTCTGGCTCTGGGGTAGATTGGCTGGCGCACTAGCTATCTCTTTTATTTTGCTATCGCTGTTTGAGCTGGGAATCGAGAGAATCAGCAATAGGTAGATGGTTGTTATTCGAAGCTCGTGCTGCAGCTCATGCCAAGCAGACATCTCATTTTGTGCCACCAATATAATTTAAACATTTGGCAAGCAGCACCATAAATTTCAAATTTTTCAAGCGTAGTGTACAAATATTTTCAGATCCTTTGAAAAAACGTTCACTGATTATCAGACATATAACTCATAACTAGGTATATATAAAAGAACATTCGTTTAGTTTTGGCATATATAACTAACAGCCTTATTTATGAAAAAAACACCGTCGTCGTTAGGATCCCAGATCTGTTGTTTACCTTTAAAGTAATGTCATTAACAAGAATATTACGCTTATTAGATTAAGATTAAAATTTATTCGGGTTTATTCAAATTATAATCGTCCGAATCTTCAGTTTCTTGAGGTTTAATTGCCTTTTTTATGTCCATTATAGTATCGCTGATCTCCATATAAGGATAATAAACATTGACATGCGGCACAAACGACTCTTTAATAACCTGCGGCGATGTCCAGCGCAGCAAATACTGTGGACTTCCCATCTTCTCGTTTGTGCCTGTCATTTGGCCAGCTCCAAATGGTTGCTGTCCAACCATGGCGCCCGTACATTTGTCATTTATATTTAAGTTACCCACATTGGATTTGAATGCGTCGCAAGCCTTCTTAATAAACTCACCGTCCGTGGCAAAGATTGAGCCCGTCAGGCCGTGATTAATTTTCGCAATTTTATCCATAGTCTTATGTAAATCACTATCCTCATAGACATAGACGCAGAGAATGGGTCCTAACAGTTCCTCCTTGCACAGAAAAGTGTCGAGATCGCTAACAAGCACTATTGTGGGATCGACAAAGTAGCCGCGACCTTTGGAGCATGTGCCACCAAGTATTAGTTCACAGTTGGAGTTGTTATGTATATAGTTGAGATATGTAAATAGACGTGTATATGCATTCTTATCAATGACCGCCGAGTAAAAGCAGTCACAGTAGGTAGCATCGCTGACAAACAGTCTGCGTGTTATCTCCAGCAGGGATGCCTGAATCTCGCTTTTCCACAAAGATTTGGGCACATACAACATCGAGCAGGAGGAACACTTTTGTCCAGCATACTCGAACGCTGCTCGTATGGTGCAGGCTACTGCAACCTCTGTATTGGCCGAGGGATGCACAAAGTGAAAATTTTTGCCGCCACAGTCACCGACCAGGCGTGGATAGTTCTTAAAAGAGTCAATACGCTCTCCAACCATCCTCCAGAGCACTTTCAGTACCGCGGACGTGCCGGTAAAGTGAATACCTGCTAAATTGCTATTACGCGTTATTACCCGAGAAAATTTTTCCGGATCAGCTGGTAAAAAGTTTACTACGCCGTCTGGTACCCCTGCCTCTTGCATGGCCTGGAACACATACCAGTTGGATAGAATAGCCGAATCTGAAGGTTTCCAGAGCACTGCATTGCCCATCAGTGCAGGTGTATAGGCCAAATTTCCAGCAATGCTGGTAAAGTTAAATGGACTGATTGCGGCTACAAAGCCAGAAAGACCGCGTAATATCATATGATTGCAATAGGCTTCTGGTCGACTATTAATTGGCTTGTAGTTTGCCAAATCACGTAGGAAAATTGGATTGATGCGCATGAAGTCCACCAGCTCAGCGACATCCATTTCCGCCTGGCAAAGTGTCTTTCCCTGGCCAAGCATCGTTGCCGCCACAATCTTCAAACGATACTTAGTGGCAATCAAATCGGCTGCTCTATCCCAAATGGCCATGCGCTCACTTAACTTTGTCTTATCCCACGTTTGCTGCGCCCGCGTAGCCGATTCGATTGCCTTCTGAATAACTTTATGATCGGCGTGATTGTAACTGTATGTTTTGGGATTATTCCATTAGAATAGATTGTTTTTTTTTTACATGAATATTCATACCGCGCTATATAATGATGTACATTGTAAGGCACCCTCTGAACTAGCTCACATTTGTTATAAAGCTCCTTGCCGTCTATTACGAAAGGCACAGGCTCTATTTTGTTGAGGATTTCAGAAAGCGCAGCTTTCACTTGATTACGTTCATCAGATCCCGACTCATATTTCCACAGGCGCTCATTTTGAATTGGCAGCATATTAAAATGTTCCGTTTGTATATTTTCTTTTGGAAAACGGCGTACTGAAGAATGAGACACACTTCTTACATATCTCACAAGTGTAGTCCAATTTAATGGCGAACTGAAATTTAAAATATAAATTTAAAAAGTCTGCTATTTAATGTGTTGGGCAACGCATATATACATAACGAGGCAGTTATCGATATCGAAAGTCTGGCAGCATTGCCGAACAAATCAGCTGCTTGTATTGATACATATTGCTATTGCTATTGCTAATTTTATGCAATACAACTGTTGCGTTTGTTTAAGAATGCAACTTACGCGAATTTTGCTGAAGCCCCGAGCATCCGAGGTCCTGACAGCATATTTAAAACAGAGTCATGAACCATTTTGGACATCATATTTTGTAAAAGTAAGCAAGAAACCGCGGAATATTCAAATCGTTAACACCAAGAATTAAGTTTAAAGACGTCCAGAATGATCAACGAGGAATGTCGCACTTCAATTGGACACTGGACACAGGCGCAAACTATCATATACTACGCACAGGTTGTTATCCGTACATGAAGTATCACTGTAGCAAACGTGAAGTGCAGGATCTTACACTAGAGGACAACTTCTTTCGTTTCCTTAAGGTGATTAATCTAGGTGAGTGCATTAAAGGATAAGTATGTGCAAGTAAATCAATCAGTACCTGTCGCAGGCCTTCCTATGCTCTTCTATGGACTTGCAGCAATTCGTCTAATAAGCCATAAAGAAATTGTCCGTGTCAGCGATACGGTAGAGGTACCAATTTACTTTTTATATGCCGAAGATAAAGGGTCTAGATTTTGAATTTAATTATAAAAATTCAGAAGGGGTCTAGATTTTGAATTTAATTATAAAAATTCCGAATTTGAAATGTTATGCTCAGGAATAATTTTTGAATATATAATAATATATATTCTCCAACAATAACAACATGGCTACATTTTAAAATACTTTCAATATAACAAAACATATAATAATTAACTTAATTCTTGCAGTCCGTTAAGGGGTTCTCACAGGTATCATCGTAATTATCTAGTAAAAGAGACTCCAGCGAAGCGCCAAATTGACTTAGCGAACAGGGTACATCACAATTTGGTATTGTTAGCTCCTTGGGAAACTTGTCCTCGCTGTTTAAGTAGTATACCAGCTGTGTAAATACCAAATATATATTAGAATAAAGACAATATAAGACAAACGTGTCTGATGATCATTTACTTTGACTTCAAAATCGCCATCAGCGAAAGATTTGCTGTGATGCAACTCAAAGACCAATGCTGAGGCATACTCCGGCAACTTTGCCGTCTGGTCCAAAATGCCCAGCGAGTTCATGACATTTACAAGCGTTACATCATGCGCTGAATACAGAAATATTTTGCGATCTGGATTTAAATTCTTTCTGCGTTTGTTTTGCATTTTCTTGAGTATTTCGGTTAGAAAAGCGCCACCCTTAATGCGCTTCATGAGGTGCGTTTCGGTAAATAAGGTGTAGCTGCGCTCAGCCAACGGTCGCATTTCCTCGGGATATATGTTCTCCGTCCAATCGGGCAGAGCGAGACTGACTTCCTCTTCTGTTTTTAGTGTGGTATACAACAGTTCCACATCCAGCACATTGGAAACGTTCTGCAAGATTTTCAAAATGAGTTGCTAAAAAAAGTCGTTAAACAACAAAACATGTTAACCTTGCCCGTGTTCTTGCTGAGTAGCTTATATAGCGCCTTATTGTCCTCATTCAGCTTATCTAGCTCTGGAGGCGGAGTTTTGTATAGTTTCTGCAATATGGTGTCATATTTGATGCAGGGTTTCTTTTGCGCCAACAGCTGTAGATTAATAAGAAAATCTTTCAATATAAATATTGATTTGCTAGATGAAAAACTTACAATGTCATCATTGCGAGCGAGCGTGTTTATGGCCACCGGCTGCCAGGGTATGGGCAGCACATTGTTGTTCTCCAGCGGCGGCATCAGTCCGGCCAAAACGCTTTGAGCGCTCATCTAAAAGATAACTACCAACTGATAAGACACACAGTTCTCTTATCACCAGACAATAATTTTTGACTTTGACGCACCACACAGCGTTCCGCGGCGGAGCTCAGAACATGCACTTGCTGCTGTGTGTAAATGCTATTCGAGGGCAGCAGGCGATAATAGCGCATGCGCAGATTTTGGCCCAACTTATATGACTGCAGGCTACCCTTCTGCAAAGACAACAAATACAAATCATTTAACATTGGCATTAATATTGAATCCACTATTGTGGTTTGCCACTCACCTGTGTGAGTGCACCGAGGCCTTCCGGCCACTCGAGCGCCGCATGTGGATCATTTGGGTAGAAACCACTCGGATTTTTGGCACCATGGCGAAACAGCTGCAGAAACATATGTAAATGACATACTTGATATGCGCATCTTAATTTGTTGTTTGTTTAATGCTCACAATTGATATCATGCGTAGCTTTTTCAAGCCCTGCTCATCGTTGCCGTCGCCAAACACGAAGTAAGCCATCATTACAATGCATAGTGCGCTGCCCAATAATATAACAGATATTTTGGTGCCACGCCGTGATTTGCAGTCGAAAGGCGACATTTTTTATGAGTTTCCTTATAATATCTTGTTTGCTGCTGCAGTTTATTAATGTATATACATATATGCTTATTTGCACTACAGCACTTTGCTATTTTCACAGCCTAAAAATAGTTTTTGTTTGTTTGTTGTCTGAACTGTTATTGCTTTTAAGCGCAAAAACAACAATACACCGCGACACGTCTAACAGCAGTGAGCTCTACGCGGCAACTGAACAAGAGTTGATACGCAACTTGGCTCCAAAGAGAGAAAGAGAGCGAGAGAGAGAGGTGAACGCCGAAGAGAGTGAGAGCCACATTGATTGTGAGAGAGTGTACCCAAACATGTGCTAATAATCAAATTATGTAGCCATCGTACACAAATACCCAATAGGAAATTTTAGCCCGCGCATTTTGGACCAAAGCCAAAGAGCGCAACAATGTAAGCGCATATATGTAAGTGGATTTTTTATTTTTCAGCAGGCTTACTTTTAACAACAAAGAAACACCGATTGGCTACAATAAAAAATATGTATATGTATGTGCTTGCGTATATGTGTATGTTCAAAAAAAATATATATGTATGTGTACATGGGCATCAGGACTCTGGTAATTTAACATTTAAATAGTAACATAACCGTAACGGCTAACACAATTATCTGAACCGATATGATGTAGTTCAATGCGTTGCGGCAAGCCTGCCATCCATCCAAAAATATTATTGATTAGCCAGAAAGTCTACGATGTGCCTTCTTGGTCCTCCTCGGATTCGCTGGTGGGCTCCTCTACCAAATAGCCCTGCTTTGTGCGGTAGATATTTTTCTTGCCACGATGCTTTTCTTCGGTATGTGATCCCGATGCTGAAGCATCTCCATCCCCAGTCTCACAATCATGTTCCTTGGCAATATCTGCTGCTCGATCCTCTTGCGTTTGATTAGACGACGCATATGTCGAATGCGGTTCCTCCTGCTCACTGAATTCAAATATAGTCTGCCTTTGAGGACATTGAACCGTGTCGTAGATAAGCGCACTATGCTGATTGCTGTCGCCAGCCATTGCCAAATGGTCTTGCAGATCAGTCAGATAGTTAAAAGAGCAAAGTGGACGCGTCACGTAGCTATCCGAAATAGCAGCATGCAAGGGCCACTGTATCGTTTCAAAGTCATATTCACGGGATTCCGGCATCAGGTACTCGTAATACTCTACGGTGGTGGTGCGATAACTATGACTCGACATGATGACCCCTTGTTTTATGTAGTTCTGCGACTTAATTTCTATCTGTGTTGCTGTCCCCCGTGCTCTTCGTCCCGCCCGCAAGTCTGCCCAACGGCTAGTTCAATGTGATTGCTCCTCTGTAAATTGTTCCTGGATAGCACCACCTTCTATAGGCGCGCCCTGGTTCACAACGCTAAGGCACAGCCGCAAAAAGTAGATACGCACCTCGTAATGCCGCAACAGATAAAACTGCAGATATATTTCAAAGATCATCAGAGGCCAACGGTAATACACAAATCAGCTTAAAAGTCGCTCAATGGGCTTGACTGCTCGCTGGCTATATGAGAAACGTTCTGCCGGAACTGGAAGGCGAACAATAATTTTGAATTTCATGAAAAATAGTGAATTTTGACAAAACAATGTGTTACTAGGAACTGAACGTTCTGTTCGTTTCAAACACAATCCACCGAATGGAAAGGGAAATAGAAAAAACTTATTCGCCAAATAGTTTTCAAACTAATTTGTAATTTATTGTAAATATTATAACTTAAGTTTAAGCACAGTCTTTGATCCCACACCTTGCAACATTGTCAACTGCCGCCGAGCACATAGCGTTCTGTGTCCAGCTCCTCATCCGAGTATTGCTGTTCAATGCGCTCACACTCGCTATGCCTGGTGCAGCGCTTATAGATCATGTATCCACCCCAAACGCTCAGCGGCAGTAGCGCCAAGCCAAGTGGCATGAGAAACAACAAGAGGAATTCGCGAGGATCGCTGGTATCGTCGCTGACAACCTCATCGCTGTTACTGTAGTCCACCCAGTATTCCAAATTCTCATCGGGCGGCAATACTTCTAGATAGGCTTCTCTTATTTTGTGGCCCCGATAGCTTATTGCCACACAAGCATAGTAACCGGCATCCCGTAGACGCACGTTGTTTAATATAAGCTTGCTGAGATAGATCTGTGGACTGATTAGCTTTTCCGGAGAAGTAGGGAGCAGCTCGTAGGTACGCCCATTATAGCGCACAATATGAGCACTGAAATTGGAAGTGCCGGATGGGGGCTGAGGCGTCTCTGGCGCCGGCATATATGCTGCATGTCCATGCCGTCTAAACCATTTAATAGTTAAGTGCTCCTCGCTGTGCACGCGACACTGGAACACCACTCGAGTGTCCTGAATAGCGGTTTTATTGCTTGGGTATGCATCTAGAAACTCCGGTGCGGCTAGCGAGCTATCTAAAAGGGGGAGCAGCAGAAATTAGCTGATTCCTGACAATATCCTGCGAAACACTTACTCTTCACTTCCAGCTGATAGGTGCGAATAAGTTGCACATCCCATACTTGAGGATTAATGCTGCACTTGTACAGGCCAGAGTAACGCTCGGTCACGTTGCGCAGCCAGAGCTCTGCACGACAGAGTGTGGAGTCGCAGGGCAGAGCTGTCCAGTCATCGCCAGACTCCAGCTGGTAACAATTATTGTCGCTGCATTGCTGACAAAAAAGAAAAGAAAATTGACTTTAACCTTTGACGCAGATTGATTATGGTATACCATGCTCACCTTGAAGTACCAGTGTATTCTAATGTCCGCCAGTCTGCGCTCATCCACCAGACCCGTGAGATTGCACTGCAACCTAACGTCGAAGCCGGCACGTTGTTGTATCAGCTCCGTGTTCTCTGTCAAAAATGCAATCACACGAAACATCAGTTAAAAAAGGGTATCATCAATTTATTGTTACTTATTCAGAAAATATCTTATCACGTAGCATTGCTAAAAAAAGAACAAAATGATAAACTAGCCTCGTTTAAATAATTGCCAAAGAAATGCATGGAACCCATTGAAAATGGGTAAACAGGGTATATTGTATTTGTGCAAAAGTATGTAACAGGCAGAAGGAAGCATCTCCGACCCCATAAAGTATATGTATTCTTGATCAGCATCAACAGCTGAGTCGATTTAGCCATGTCCGTCTGTCTGTCCGTCCGTCCGTATGTATGAACGCAAGGATCTCAGAACCTATAAGAGCTAGAGACTTGAAATTTTAGCTGTAGGTCCTCCTAGTGCCCGCGCAGATCGCCCCGTTTCCAAGTAATCGATAAAATTCGATATCGAAATCCTGTTTTTTGAGCAATTTCGGCAAATAATATGAGCTAGCTTCTAGAATAGTATATATATATGAAGTATTTTTCATTTTATACCTATCGCCTGTCGGAGAAAGAGGGTTCAGGGTATCCCCTAGTCGGGAGCTCCCGACTACTCTCTCTTACTTGTTTTCATTTCTATTTGTTGAGCATCTTACAGATATTGTTAAGCAGATTAAGGGCACTATTTATGGATGGAAATTCAATTTATAGTCTTAAAGTATTACACCCACCTGTATAATCAATAAAGTACCCAATCGTCGTGGGCAATCCACAGATGCCAATCAAGAACCAAATCGCCGCTAAACGGTGCAGCTGTTTCCTAATAATTATTGTCAACACCATCGTATGCACTTGCCTTAACAAAGTCTATACATTGTTTAGCACTTTTTAGTTCTCATAATATACTTTTATCTATATCGAACTTTTAGCTTCCAACGGAAAAGTTTCATCAAAAATTGCACAATTGATTTTATGAGTTCAAATATATATTCCGATATTTTAACAACGCTTTAAATATTACGTTTTGCCATTAACACGAAATGATCGATTTGTTTTTAGTTTTGTAGTAAACATTTTGTGCTCGACTCGATGCTGCTCAGGTTCTTATTTATTTATTTATTTAAACGTTGCATTTTTCACCGCCTCTCGCACACATTTTTCACACATTTTATTGGCCGCTGGCGGCCGCTGAGTGTACAATTTTCTTTTGTTTATTTACTTGGCCATTTAAAGCGGGTGATCCACATACAAATAGTGAAAAAAAAAAGATGAAGCAAATACGTACAAGCACACATACTTAAATGTTACATATGTACATAAATATGTACACACATTCAAATCCTTGGCTCACATATAAATGATGGCATTGTGTTTTTCATGATTATTAAATAGTGAGAGACCCCATTTATACAGAACAATAAATCATAAAAGCGATAATGCCCATTTATCAAATCGCTACCCACTAAAGGCGTGGGTTGATAGAAGACACTCGAAACGAACGAAATTTGATATTTGCCCCATTCGAAAAATGGAAAAACACAAGATACCCCGACTATACGTCAGAATATCAATTAAATATACGTAAATATGTATAATGAAATGAAATAAATAGTAAGCAAAGCCAAATAGTTTAACCAATATTCAGGAATAAAATAATACCATTCGAAAGGGTTTCAAATATTGTAATTGTTTATGCATATTAGCAAATATTTTTGTTAATTACTTTTCAGCTTATAAATGCGTTTTTAATTGGTAAGTAAAAAGGAAAATTTGATGAACATTTTTCGAGTAATGCAAAGTGGATTTCACACCATTTCAAACACATTTACGTTTTAGCACATATTTGTATGTGGATCGATTCGATGCACCAAATGCCAATAAAACACATTTGTCTAAACGAACCGACTAACCGACTGATTGTCTGTTTATATAGCTACTCTTCGCATGATCCATTTGTGTGGTAGATTTATCACAGTTGCCCCCATTTGATTGGCGTTCACTCAATTGATTTATATGGTATCATTTATTAGGTAGCGCTCGTTTCATACAACAAAATATCTATTGCTTGATAGACAATTTGTTTATGGCAAGCAACGTTTTTTGAAAAATCAAAACTACGCGCAATTACAGGCGCCCAGAAACGATGGACACACGACCATGACGGACTTTGACGATCGACTGTTTGGTTACTTAGTTCTTAATCACTTCATGAAGCACGTCGAACTGAAACTTGCTGATATCGCCCGTTTTTTTTTTTTTCTTTATATATTTAGTTTTTTTTATTTTTCTGATGAATGCGCCAAATCGGCAGACACTTTGTGCTGATATAGGCGCCTTTTGTTACCTAATGCCACATCACGAAGTCAATTGGGCCCCAAAGCTAAAACATTGCCATATTCGCAAGAGGCGCATCCAAACCGAAAGCGTGCAAACATTTTATTGTACATGTGTTTTTTTCATTGTTATTATTGAATAGTTTTGGTTTTTTTTTTGTTTTTTCTCCTCTCCTAGCAATTGTTATTGCTGTTGTTTTTCACTGGGTAAATAGTGCTCGTATGGTTTTGTAGGCACATCGATCTCTGGGATCGCATTGTGTGCGTCCGTACGATCGGCTGGCTATCAACAAACTACTGTAATACACGAATCGAACAAGTGTTCGATTCGATTCCCCTTTGGAAGCGAGGTGCTCGCCATTGCTGGGAACAACTAAATAAATGTGTTTTATAAGCAGATTCGCTTATCGCATATCAATATAAATGCGTAAATATACAGTAGTCGATATAGTGTCCCGATATCGCCACAGCTATGTACATAGACGACCATGTACAGAGAGGCGGCCACACACGACTATTAGACTCCGTCCGTGCATTCAGCACTAAGCTATATCGGTTGCCTCGACCGAAAAATGTAATTTAATATTGGTTAACCGAATAAGAGAGAGAGATGGAGAGGGAGTTAGATAAAGATAGAGATCCATGTCAGTACTGTATGGCCTGCACCCTCGTCATTTGTTTATTTTGGCTGCCACAGTGGGTTCTACTATCAATTCCGCCAGTTATCGGTATACTGGCCCTACCTTGCTTATCAATACCATAGTAATAAATAGCGGGAGCCAAGCGGCAGCTTGCCGGCAGCCCGATGGCGTCTAAAGATTGCTGTCAATGGCGACAATAATGCGAACAATTTGACCAGCCGGCCCGTCCATTCATCGAACGTTAGCCCAACAAATCCAAATTAATTCCCAATGGGCTAGTCAACAAAGCCAGCCCGGCGGCCAAGGCGCTGCACTATGCCGTCGTACTGTTGGAGCTCTGCATAATACTTTACCAATTGATAAGCTTCAACGAGCACTATATGATATAGACCTTTAGCTGCCTGATTAAATAATGCACGCATTGCGATAAATGGGCTATCAAAGAAACCCTAACGATCCAATTGAGTATCCAAATAATCCAATCGAAACCTTAAACTTAGTATTGAGAGTTTTTTGAACTATCTTATCGGGATTTAAATATCACAGTTTATATTTGAATAGAAAATCCACTCTTTATTAGACTTCAATATAGACACGCGGGCGATTTGAAGTTTACCTCTATAAAGGAAATTAACTATATTAGATTGATTTCCATAAATCAGGCTCTTACACTTACACTTGTCCTTCGGCTTCAGCTCGTTCAGCTCCGTGGCATGCTCAGCTAGCAAATCCAGCATGACCTCGATCTTCAAATTGCACATATTATTCTCCTCCTCTAGGGCACGAAATTTCTTGTTCAAACGCAGCATGTCATCCACATCCCCTTTGCGAGCCGAATGCATCCAAATGCCGTCAGCAAAGCGCAGCTCTTTGTTGCCCAAACTCAGGGAGATATTTCGAAAATCGTCAATATCCTCGTTTACAACGGGAAACCCAATATTACAACGATTCGCACGAGCTGGAATGGGCTTCGACTCGAATTTCTTGTTGAACAACGGCATCTCAACGATTAACTGCAAACTGTTCACAAATTTGACCAATTCAATGTTTATGCTTTGCCACAAGCCGTTGCCACGGCAATTAGCTTGGGTCACAACAGAACCAATATGAATACTCCCTGCTCCCTGCTGCCTGCTGCCAGGTCATTGAGCTGTCAAACAGTGACAGTAGAAAAAGACTGCCAGCTGCACCGAGAAATTAACTCAAATAGAAATCGTGCTGCTTGAATGGAGTACCCTTGAAATTCCAAGTTCTTAGCGTGATTATTTTTTTTTTCAAATTTAAAATGTCGCAGGAGGCTATAACCTATCAGTTCCCGAGGTGTGATAAATAATAAAAAAAACACATTAATACATTCCGGCTCAAACAAATTTATTTTTATTCGTTTCAAACAGCGGTGCCGGCGAGGTGGCATTGTGCGTGGAGCGATTGATAAAGGAAACCAACGAGGACTTGAAAAATTTTCGCGTGGAGCAATCCGACCTGCGATCGCTAATTAGCGCTGTATTAAATGAGAATCGTCACTTGACCGGCGAACTGGGCAAATTTAAAAAAGTAATGTGTTCCAAAAGCAGTGAGAATATACATGAAAGACTACATTTTGCTAACGATGCGTTGGTCAAAGCCATGGCTCAAATTGAGGCACTAAAACAGGAGCAACGTAGTCTGCAGACATTGCAGGAGTGCTCACAGCGCACCATTAAGAGCATGGAGGTCGAATTAAACACTTATCGTGCCCAGCTGCCACAAGGAGGCAATGATCAGGTGAGTATTGTTCCAGGACCAGAATGCCTTGCTTTTCGTGTTTGTCATACCAAATTGCAAGTTTAGATGGCGCAAAAGTATAATAAAGCTGTTAGAATGCTAGAAGCCAGGTTGAGTGAGCAACAGGAGGAAATTCGTACACAGGCGAATCTTATCAAAGCTCTGCATGAGCATAAGCAACGCTGTGGTGAGCAGATCGACCAGTTGCGATCTCAGTTAAAGGAACGCCACCATGATGCAGCCACTCGAGAAGAAGAACACGCTAAGCTAGCCAGTTTACATAAACAACTCAAGGAATTTGAGAAATCCTTGATGAAAACTCGAGCCCTGCTTGATGAGAGTAAGAAGCGTGAGGTAGAGGCTATGCGCAAGGTGCACGATGCGCTCAGTGTTAGCGAAGCAGCTGTCCGTGAAAAGGAGGATGCTGAAAAACTTGCTGAATCGTACAAGGAGGAAGCTAGCCATCTGGCATTTAACATCGGCAGCATCATGGATGAGGCGGCTAACCGTGTGGACAGTGAAGTCGCTCAACTTAGGACAAAATTGGCAGAGAAGGACAAAACTATAACATCGCTGCGTGAAAAGGTCAGGCAGATTTTTATAAAATTCATTATTCTTTTCAGAGTTTTCATTGCAGCTTAAAAATGAAGCCATGGAATACAAGAGAGCAACGCAAGCCCTGGAATGTCGGATCGAGCGTATTACCCTCAAATATAAAGAAGCTCTCAATCAGAACGCAAAACTTGAGAAGCAAGTGGAGTCTTGCAACAAGCGTCTAATAGAACTGGAGGAGTCTGCCTTTAATGATGAAACGCATCACTTACAACAGTGCGTATACTATATATAAGTACAATTGCAGGACTTTAATTTAAAGTTTTTTTCGCACAGCAAAAAGGATTACGAGTCCAAAATGGAGACCTATCTGAATTCATATAAGGAATTGAAAGCGCATTACAAGGAGCTTTTACAGGATCTTACAAAGAAATTCGAGGGCGCATTCGAAAGTCTACACAAGGAAAAGTGTGAGCTGCAGGCCGAAAACGAGATGTTAAGGAACGGCGCTGCAGGAGACGGCATGGGAAAGATATTGTAGCATGTATATACAATAATATATTTTATAGTAGATTGTTAAATAGTTTTATATAAATTTGTCTACAAGCAACTATGCAGCAGCGATTTGTGCATTACGACCGGGAAACAAGCTAGGAAACCAATAACTTGGCTCAACATCCGATTGTTTATCAATCCAGCACAGGCCCTCGCCCAATACCTTTTCCAGCGCTTGTTTTGTGCGGTATTCGGTCCATCTGAAAGGGAAAATACTTTGACTTTGTCGGTTTTGTTGGGTTCGGTTGGAAGCTTACCCCAAGTCTTTAATGAGTTGATTTTGAGTGACGTAGCCAGTTTCTGTATTAGCTGCAGCACTGAGTATGTTGGTCTCCTCCATGCTTAGCTCACCCGGAATAGATTGGACCATGTATTTACCCTTACCCAGCTTGTGAACAACGAAGCTGAAAATATAGAATTATTAAAATTTGCGACTACAACGATTGAAATGGTTCATACCCGTTGCCAAAAATGGTCAGTTTTTTTGCTGCCATGAGTATGTCCTCTTTTGTAATCTCCTGATGAACCGCACTTTGACCACGTGCTGCTATGAGACGACGGCGAAGTTCGTCTAATTCCATAAGGCCGCCAGTTTTATGATTGGCTGCAAGGCATACTTCCACAACCTGCACGCTTAGCTCGTAATAGAAATCTCCCATGCCAAGCACACTCCAGAATCCTTTTCCAGTGGCTAGAGGATCCACTCCAATGGCAGCACACATTTCCTGAAATTGTTTACGGAACTGCGAGTTTTTGCGTATATCTTCCTTGTGTTTCATGGCAAACTCTTCCAATTTAATGCGAAAAACTTCCATTTGTTTCGTCATTTGCTCCAGTTGAGATTCCTGCAAATCGGCCCCTTTATCCTTATATTTTTCAGCAGCCAACTTTTGCTGCTGTATGGCACCCAGACCCACTCGGCGGCGCATATTGACCACAATTTTATTTAATGTTTACTTTTTATAAAAAACAATGTTTTGCAGTCAGCTGTGACGAAAAACAAATGATCTAATTTGTCAGTCGAACTGGTTCATCGGAGCTGTTCAACTAGTTCATTTTTATTTATCGAATTTGAGCATTTGAAAAGGCTAATCAGCTTTAACTTTCCTTGATTTAAGTTTAATTAATTTATATCACTTATAATTGAAGAGATTATGCCTTTTAAAAAATATTAGAGGAGTGTTCATACATATATGTATGTAATTTCATAAACTGTCAATCTTGCAGATGGTTTACGTTGTCTTTCTGCCACACTCTCGTGTTCGGTATACTTCAGTATTGACTTTGTTTGTTTTTCGTTTAAAAATAAGGTTGACTTTCAATTTGAATAACGTTATCAATCAATTAAATTTAACAAATAAGACTGACATGTTTTAGTACATATTTAGTTGAGAACTACTGCTTAATTTAAATACAGTTGAAAATATCGATAGTTCGATACATCGAACGAGAATCAAGTCTTATTTCGTAGGGATAAATCGATGTTTATTACATCTCTAGTGCATTTTGCTTGTGTTTTTGCGCATTTTTTGCATTCGCGTTCTTTTAATTATTTTAGTTTAATTTCTCTGCCTGAGATTTATTTCGCGAACGTTTAAAAATGTTATCAATCCATTTTCAGTCACAACAAACCAAACCGCAGAGCAAGAGCCACAGCTAAATTAATATTTTGCAAGGCAGGTCCAAACAGTATCTATAACATAAACAACAACAATAGCACTACCCCCAGGACATCCGCCATAACGCCTCAAGCTCAAGGTTACTCAAAAACCCCCATGCTGCGACTGCAGCTGTCACAAAACCAAACAAGATGAGAATAATCTAGGCGCTTCAATTTGGAAGACATTCTCGAGCTTACTCCGTTGCCGTTTCTATTACCTCGGCATGTTGTGCTTCGACTCGGAGAAGATGAATTGGTATTATCATGTGCTGGCACGGAGACCATACCTGGTGGTCGTCTCAATTGCAGTTTATTGCGTGGCCTGCATTATAGTCGCATTTTTACTTAACGACCTACCAGACTTTAGTGACCCCACCTTGGTTCGTATCATATCAATCATTCCCCAATATATAATTTCTACGCATGCTCATACTTTTACCCACAACAAATATTGCAGGGCTTTGAGACGCGAGGCACCGAAATTGGCAAACGTCTAACCGCTTGGCATAATCTGGATCAGGAGGTTGACGGCAACGGTGTTTTGTTTTCCAACCCCACAGATCTGATGCTAAAGCTTCAAACCGACAAGAAACGTGGTGTACCGCGTCATCAGCATCCCAATTACAGGCGGCACAAAAAACAGCGTCGAAAGCACAAAAACAATAAGGGCCGCAAAGAGCCCAAGAAAAATGAGCACGACGACATGGCGTACAAAATGATGCTTATTAATAAGCGCCTAAAGGCGACCAAGAGTCCGTTAAGCGATAAGTGGATGGGTGACAGCGGCGTGTTTCGTGACTACGAGGTAACCAACGACAGCAGCCCTTCCTTGCTAGAGCCGACCAGGCGCAGCGATGAGATTGAATATGGCCACAATACTACTTACGTGGATGAGGATGAGCATCGTGAGCGCGTACAGACCAAGAAGAGTACATGGCGTATGCTAAAGCAGGCCTCATTACCCAACGACGGATGGTCTAACTCAAGAGTGCGTCAACCCATCGAGGGTTTTTTTTGTGATTCCTCACCACACAAGGAATACTCTCATTTTGTGGTGCAGCGCATTGGACCAAATTCGACAGACTCACTGTTTGATCTAAATGGCATGTTGGCCATGTGCCAGCTGCAAGAGCAAATTGGTGCCGTGCCCAGCTATCAGGCATTCTGTGAGCCTGAAATGCTTACATCCAATTGCTGCCGGCCGTGGTCGCTGCCCAGCTATGCCACCCTGTTGGCCAATAAGAGTTCCTGTTTTGATCTGACTACGGATGATGTTGCGCTGTTGCGATCGCTGCTGCTTAATTGCTACGATTACTACCACTATCTAAAGCTGGACGTCAATTGTAACGAATTAAATCGCTGTTATGCGCCGGAAGAATGTACGCGCAACAATTTGGTCTTCAATGTACTCAACTTTCTAAGCGATCACAGCTTTATTAAGCCAAACGTTAGTGTCATTACGATAAAGATTGGTCTAATTAATAATTATTTATTTTATGCAGGACACGAATATTTTTTTGAAATACGCCATGATTTTTGTACCAGTTGCACGCTCCAATCGCATCCTGCCGCTTTTCCACGAATGGCAACACGTGTAAGTTGAAAATTTAATTGTCAAAATTATTCTAGTACTTGCGCAGCGTGTAACGGTCGATGGGTCCTGTAGGCATTTTGCCATCCTTTGCTGTCACCAATGCGGGTATGCAGACTTCTTCATAGTATGTACTCAGGTCATATTTGCGGAAAAGCTTACGCATGTTTTTGGCAAATGTCTCCATGGACATACTTTTGGGTTCAGGTCGGCGATGCAATGCTGCACCCAAGGCATTGAGCTCTTCGAGCCGATTATAGTAATTGCCATAGGTAGTCAGAATGTCCTTGGATTTACAGTTAGGATCTGATATATCCGCTTTTATTTTTTTTTGACTATTCAGTGCCACATAGTCATTTGGCGAATAGTCTGAACTATAAACAGTTTTCTGCAAATCCCTCAAAAAATCTTCGACTTGATCAAAACGCACTGGCGGGCACTCAAAGAACAGTTTATAAATATCCTCGTTGCACCACTTTGTGCGCAATAAAAATTGGCGATATTCTTCGCGCCAGTCCGTTGCATACGGCCAGGTGCGCGTCTTTAATTCAAAATTATTCACCTTAAGATTGTTCGCATAATGCCCAGAGATCAATGCCGCATCGGTTTGCTTTTTTATTATCTTTTTTGGTTTATAAATGCGACCATCATGCATGTGGTTCACAAAATCCGCTTCTGTGACGGTCTTTTTATTGAAACATGTTGGCAGCATCTCTTTAACGTCCACCTGAGCTAAACGTTCGCTGCGTGTCATAGATTCCTCTTCGCCAGCCATTTTACTAAATCAGTTCATGTACATTTAATGTTTAATTTAAATATTCTAATTTTTGCCTTGAGTACACTATTTGTGAATACTTTTGGGTAGTTATATTTAATAAACTTTTAACATATATTTCTAGTCTTATGTGATGGACGTCATTATTTAAATAGTTTTTCATTCAACTCTATTTACAGCGAGCTATGCAATGAGTTAGTGGAAGTTGTTGCCATGGATTTGGGTCTGGAAAATGAGCTATTTAGCGAGCAGTTACTAACAGATGTTTGGCTGGTATCGCTGGGTGGTCTCTTCGTTATGGCTTGCGTTTGGTTATATACAGGATCTGCGTTTATTACACTAATGTCCTGTTGTGCCGTTTGTTTCTCATTGGGATTGGCATACTTTGTTTACACGTTGGTATTTGAGTTAAGCTTCTTTCCATATATGAATCTCCTAGCCATTGTGGTCATCATTGGTATTGGTGCGGATGATGTATTCTTGTTCCTAAAAATCTGGCAATGTGTGCTGGCCGAGCGCTTTAGCAAGAGCAGTACATTGAACACACAATCAACATTGCCGACGCCGTTGGAGCACAATGAGCATACGGAAACATTAGAGAATCTAATGGCGCTGACTATGCGACATGCGGCAGCATCTATGTTTGTCACCTCGGTAACCACTGCTAGCGCATTTTATGCCTCCTACAGTAGCTCCATAACTGCAATTAAATGTTTTGGGTAAGTCTTGTTAGTCTTATAATAAACTATCCACTATTAATGGCTTCCGTTTACAGAATTTTTGCGGGCACCGTTGTGGTCACCAACTATTTGCTTATGATCACCTGGTTACCCGCCTCGGTATCAATTATGGAGCGCCTGTTTGCCAGCCACATGTGCTGCCAGCAGCATTTAACACAAAAATTGATCAACGCCTGCAAGAAGTCAATTAATCGATTTTGCGAATTGTTTGAAGAGTGCATTACGCAGAGTATTATGAATTATGCATACCTGTGGCTGTTCATCTTTGCCGTGCTGGGCGTTTCCAGTGCGATCATTGTGTTCTGGTATCCGGGTCTGCAGCTGCCAGAGAAACCACATTTTCAATTATTTGTGTCACATCATCCCTTCGAGGTTTATACAAAGCTAAGGCATCAGTTTTGGTTTGAGAAGCCTCTGCAAGGAGTGGAAAATTTCAATATGAGCATGCGCTTCGTTTGGGGCGTACAAGCGGTGGACGATGGCGACTTCACAAACCCAAGCTCATACGGTAACCTACACTATGACAATAATTTTAATATATCAAGCAAGACGGCGCAGATTTGGTTACGGAACTTTTGTCAAAACATACGCCAGCAGCCATTTTATCAGGCTACCTTTGGTTTCTTGCTGCCCAATTGCTTTATTGAGAACTTTATAAGATACATGGAGCGTAGGTAAGCATTGTGTTATATAAATTAGTGAATGTTATTCACTAAGTTTTTTATTCTTAGATGCGTTGATGACATGGACTCAATGAGCTTGGATCGCGCACCTTGCTGCGACGCAGAGTTTCCCTACGAGCCGCACATATTTGAGGAGTGTTTGCCACAATGCATTTCCAATTTGTGTGAAACCAGTTTCTATCAGCACGGCAAAGCGGGTCCCAAGTTTGCTGCTGGACCCATCCACTCGGATGAGTACTTCGAGGGCAATAGTAATGAAAGCTTAAGCATTGAGTCGACTTCTACGCAACTACTCGTGAAAGCGATCATCATTGAGTTTGATTCGAATGTCAGATACAGCACGCTCTACGCCAACATCAACCAGTTTTATGAGAGCGTCGAGAGTTGGTTTCAGCAGCAGCTCAGCACGGCGCCCTTGGGGTTGCGTGGTGGCTGGTTTATCAGTGACTTGAAGTTTTACAGCGTTCAGGACACACTTTCGCACGACACAATCATTGCTATTGTGCTGGCCATGGCAGCTTCACTTGTTGTTCTGCTCTGCTTCACACTTAATTTCATTATTTCCATATATGCCGTCATTACTGTCTCTCTGACCATTTTTAACACGGTGGCTGTGCTTATTTTACTCGGATGGCGGCTTAATATACTGGAGAGCATTGCGGTATCGACTGCAATTGGCCTGGCTGTGGATTTTAGCCTACACTATGGCATACATTATCGGCTCTCGCCTTCTAAGGAGCGCATTGCAGCCACACAATTTGCGCTGTCCCGCATCATTGGTCCAACAGTTATGGCAGCGGTTACCACTGGCGTTGCCGGTGGCATTATGATGGCATCAAATATATTACCCTACATACAGATTGGTATATTTTTAGTTGTAGTAATGGCCACCAGTTGGTTCTATGCAACCTTCTTTTTGATGAGCCTGCTCAAAGTGGCCGGACCGCAGTACGGTTTCATGCAGCTGGGCTGGCCTGCATGGCACAAGCGTCGCACTGCAAAGGCTAATAAATTCTACGAACGGTAGGTCCAACTCCCATATTCTTGGCTATTTCTAATTTGTGTTTGCAATCTCTTACAGGAAACCCAGTCAAATAATTGCCACTGAACAGCTGCTAACACCCACCAGCTCAGCCATTGTTGAGATGGCCAATTCGGAGACACATGAATTGGAATCTCTTAATTCAAACAATCAGATCAGAACCATTTCAGGTGCAGAGAGTGGACATCCGCCGCCTTCTCTAGCTGTGGACTTAGAGCACTCATTTCAAACGCCGCACTAGTGCAAAATATCAAGCGGAGTCCGCGATTTTCAATGGAGCTTCTTATTGCCTCAGCTAAGGAGCTGCAAGTATATGCATTTTTTATACAAAGGGCAACGCAACGAAGCTGTCCGAAATATATACAATTACTATGTATATGTATTTAGCACACATTGCGCCAATGTAAGTGTACGTATGTAAGCTGTATTGATATATCACAGCTAGTCGTATGTGCAATTACTTTGTTAGAGTTAAGCGTGACTCAAAGAGGCAAGCGATTTGCGTAAATGTTTGACACATTTTATACTTTGCTAATATAATATTCTATTAGGCGGAGATTCGCAATTAATTGTACTTATGCTTGAGCAAACATTTGCGCCAACTAGTTGGCTATTTGATTTACTATTTAGTGTGCTATTTCAAAAAGACTTTCAACAGTTGCAATGCGATTTTTTACTTAGTTACTGTAACGCTTGGCTCTCGCTCGAGCCAAGTGAGCTCAATATTGTAAACTGAAGCAATTGGCGGAAGGTACTGGGTACGTCCATAATTGTACGACTGCACGATGTCGGTATTATTAGTCTTAAGTAAAGTATTCGACAACAGAGCGCGTCCGCGTAATTGTTTATGTATTTACGTATTTAACTGTAATCAAAACTATTTATACTCTGAATTTTTATTAGCTGTTAAAATGGGCCAACTATGTTGATGCCGGCATTATAGTATGTATGCAGGTATATGTAGTTACCATATATGGTAGTTATATACGGCACAAACACACAATATATATAATGTACATTGGTGTACTATATGTGTTGTCTATCCTACTTAGTTGTAAATGTTTAAAACACACAAAAACACACTCGCGTTTGTAATAACCATGTAACTGTGATACAGAAGGTGACAAATTGATAAATACAAATTCTATGTTTATACAGACAATGAGAGCTAGTTAAACAAAAATCATGACGTATTGTACTTAACTATAACTGAAAACCTTGTACTTCCTTCATTAAACTTATTAAATGTGTTGAAGTGATTTAATAAATGTTACTTGTAAAACAATAAATAAAAATATTACTTTCAAAACAAATCAAGTTCATTTAATTTAAAAACAACGTTTGTAATTACTTACATTAATTATCTTTTAATTTTCAACTATGTTTCTCAATATTATTTGTGCTAGCAATTTATGAAATTGTGCATCCACTTTCTTCACATTAGTATGCATTACGATAGAGTATAAGGAATTTTGTCATAGGGGCTAAAAACTGCATTTGCCTACAAGTATTCAACGATATCGCATTTAATGGATATATTAGGACAGCTCTGGCCAACTACACTTCGGCCGCGATAGTTGGGACTCTTTTCGGTGAGCAGCTTCCGGAATATGGGTAGTATAGCTGTCTCCCCCTCGATTAACTCCGTCTCGGAGCTGGCTCCATAGATTGAATGATCCGTTCTATTGCGCTGTTTCCTTTGCTTCTCCGGCGCCACATTCGGCGAGCTGTGATGGTGCGCCGCATGCTGAATGTTGGAATTTCGATTGAACTTGCGCGTCTGTGTGCACTGCTGAACAGTAGTGGGTGTCGGTTCGCGTTCCCGCTCGCTGTCCGTCTCACTCTGGCAGACCGTACCCTTTTGCGGCTTGGGGCGATGCTTATTGCGATTCTTTTCCGAGACGGAGCGTTGAATGGGCGAGGTTGTGTTCTGGTCATAGGCCATCACGTGTCCATGATGCTCGGAACAGCGCTGTGGGCTGGCATAGGTACGCTGCGACTGGCGCGAGTGCTGCTTAGCATGTGAGAGCGTGTGCGTGTCCCAGAGATCGCTCTGCGAGACAACAAAATTAGACTTTAAAGCCGAGCCCATGCTGGTGCGCCGATGGTCAGAGGCGGTGGGAGCTGTTAAAAATGAAGGAATTAAATGTCATTTTGTTGAAGCATGAATAACCATATTATATTTGGTTAAAATATGTAAGTTAAGTTGAAGGAAAATGTATGCTTAAAATTAAATTTTGGTAATACCTTATTTCTTAACTGAATTTAAAACGATTTGCAGTTTTTGAATTTTTTTTCTTAAGTGCATATATGATGGGCGAATACTTACTCTTGATTATACCTGGCGTGCCGGGCTTGCTGTGCGGACAAACATTGCTCAGCTCCGATTGTGAGGTGGATATATTCGTGGAGGAGTTGCGATGTGTGCTGCTATACTTTGGCTTCGCCGTTGGCGTTTGGCTCCCACTTTCATAGTGCCGCGATGCAGTTGACTGGCGGCGTATCGCGGCACAGTCGCCAGTGCTGCGTTTGCTGGCGCTGCTCGTTATGCTACCAATATTGGCATCTGTTTGAGCCGAAACTGAATTGCGTTTCTCTAAATGTCGATGGTGTTGATGTTGTTGTTGCAGCTGCTGCTGCTGCTGCATTTGTTGCTGCTTCTGCAGATGCTGTTGTAGCTGCTGCTGGATAGGCTGCATCATTGCGGGCGGATGGTGTTCCACCATTGACTGTTTCTTTTTTTTACTGTTGGACATACTGATTAAATACACATATACACATACACATATTTAGTCTATGTGGGTCTCCGAGTACTTACGGCGGCAAAGAGGGCGCCAGAGTCGTGGACTGTACCGAAACGAAGGAATTCTCCATGTCAACGTGCGTGGAAGTGATGCTATCCACTGATGTCAGCTCGGTAACTTCTAAGTGCAATCAGTGAGCAATGCATGAATTTGTCTAGATAGAACCCATGCTCACTCACCTGTAGTACTGGGCATTTCGCGACGCACCGGTGGTGCCGATAGCCTTGCCATATCTTCGCTTAGAATAGGCTCCATGTCAGTGGGGGCGCCTGTGCATGTGACGCCATCGATCCACTTGCGCGCCTCTGGGCCCAGTTTGCGTATTAGAGCCTGCAGCTCGTTCTCCTTTTCCATCAGAGCTTTGCGGAAGCGACAATTGGTGTTCTTAACATCGCGAAGCCGCTGCTCTAGCTCACAGACCGAAGAATCGCGACGATTCTTGGACATAGGGCGTAGAGTAGCACGCACTCGCTTGTCCACAACGCCCTGAGGATTGCGTTTGAGTTCGACGAGCTGAAATTCAATAAGCCGGGATTAGATAAGTTTGCTGCCAGACAACACACCACACAGCAAGGTAAGTTCTCAAGGATAACTTTGAAAATTGAGAATATAGGACAGAACATATGAATATCAGAAATACCGATAAGTGCTAATATCCAATTATAGAGAAAAGTTTTTAAATATTTCTACGGCATTGCTGATATACATAGATAAGTACGTATGTAGATAGAATTAACAGTTTATAAAAAGTTAGTAGTGTTATGTAGCATTAGCAAAGTTTAGAATTTAGTAACGTTTTTGTTTAGTTTGTTCTGGGCGTAAAGAGTAGCGCTAAAAGAAATGCTGATCATTTGAAATGCAGTCCATTCGATTGACGGCATTCGAAATGATCAAACGAACAATATGAAACAACATTCAACAAAATACGTATGTAGTCGTATGTTTGTTTGTATATAAGTATTATACGATTATATAACAGCTACAAAAACTACAAAACTTCCTTACTACCAGTCTTACTTTCGGTACGAACACCAAACACAAAGTGGCTGTCGTACAAAAAATTATAAAAAACGAGAGTAAGACAAAAACTAAATCCTTGCGATCCGATAAAACCAGCGATATGGCCGCGCCGGCAATACAAGTAATGAACACATTATAAACTGAGAAGCCAATGTGCTTGGAGTCATTTAGAGCTGGAATGGAGACATGCCTGGTTTCCCAGGCCAAGAAGGCGCCAAAAACCTAAAAGTAGCAAATAAGGAACACATTGTACTAATAATCATTAGTGTCGAAGTTAACGCACCAGTAGCAAGCCTTTATATGCATAGATGATGCTAACAAATATGGTCATGTGCTCTGATTGGCAGTACTCATTCTCGGGTATGACCAGCACATCATCAATGTTCTCGTGGTGCTGTAATAGTAGTAAGTTATTGAGGAAATCCCATTGATGTAATACACACTTTTGGTTCTAGCTGCTTCGTCTCACGATAGAACGGATCGGCTACCTGCCAGGTGGTTATTATCGCTATATCAATGGCCAAAAGCACGCCCACAACCATAAACAGCTGATAGTCCTTGATCACTTTCTTGTTCAGCTTCAGATCGGTAAAAATCGAATGCACTCGCCAAGTTTTCGAAAACATGGCACCAAAAGCCAAACTGAAACCTGCCATTAAAATCCATGCTCGAGCCGTGCATATATAGGGAAAGGCTGCCACACTGCTCAACGTAGTATCCAGGCCCAGAAAAATGATGCTCAGATAGGTCAGCATGCAGCCAACAATAATCAGATTGTTCAAATGTGGACTTGACATTTTGATGTAGCTACAAATAATACAGACTTGGTACATTAAGGAAGAGTAGCTATTGGAACTTAAGATCTTACCGTTGATTACGATACTTGATGTTAAAGGCTAGGAAAACGGTGGCTATTATCACGCCAATGACAGAGGCGCTGGCTGACACAATATATATGGTGGGATTAACTTGGCTGTGTTCTATATAGATCACTGTGCGATCCTTGGGTGGCGTCTTGCCCACCCAACGTACGGGCTTGCCCAGCGTCATATCCAAGTGTGCTTGCTGTGAGTGATATTCGCCTATCTTTTCCATTTGTCCCACTTGAAACTGGGTAATCAGAATGTTGGCCTTGCGTTCGTTGTCATAGAAGCGTACCGGTCCCTGGAAATAATATACATAGGCTAATTAATATCTTTTTGATCTTAGGGCTAATACCAACCGTGACACCCTCGAAAGAAGTATTACGTAATGCTTCCAGGAAAATATTTTCCCAGTCCTTGACTCGGTAATCAAAATGTGTTAGCAGATCTTCACGCTTCTCCGCTACATACTGTATGGCCAATGCAGCTGCCCAAATACCATCGTAGGTATATCCATGGAAGCGCGAGTATTCTGTGCCGCGTAATCTATCATACTCAACGAGATACTCATCCGCCGTCTGGAAAATTAAAAATCCTTAAGATGCTGCATATATGGGTAAAATCTCGAGTCCACTTACAATGCCTGCAACTGTTATGTCTCCGCTGGTTGAGAGCGGCAGTAGATCCACCAATATGGCGCCCTCTAAAGCCGTGGCAATTTCCTTCACGCTGCATTCGCTGTCCATTGTCACATTCCACCAATCCGTGGTGTAGGTGGCCATAATTAGCCACTGATAGGCACGTCCATACATTTGCAATCTGAAAGTGGCATTATTATGGGCATTACAATATTACAATTTTGGGAGGACTTACTTGAATGCTTCGCAGAAAACCTTGCGGGCAAAATGCTCATTAAAATTGCCCAAAATTATTCGAACATCCTTTTCCCGCAGCTTTTTCAGTGACTCGGCCACATCGTTGACGAAACTTTGGGTCTCCACCACCTCCAGCTCCATGGAATCCAGATCGGCCACCATATGATTGTGTGGCAGTGAATATCGTGGTTCATTTTGGTAAACGGTGCCCACACGCGTCCAATTAAACTCTTTGAGCAGCGCCAGGCGTGGTGCATTAAATGCATTCTCCGAGGGCACCACTCGAAAGAAATTGGGAAACGCATCCTTGGTGAACATGGGATGGGTATCCGCATAGCTCAGCTGTGTTAAATGCCAGTGCTTGCTGGCCTTGGCTATGGGGTCTGTGACATGCGTGCAGGCTGCACCAAAGAGCATCACCTTGTTTGGACCAGAGTGCATCATGTCGAAAAAAGATTTGACTCCCACGGCAGCATTGCACTGGAAATAAGGAAAAGCATATAAGAACTACTTCTCGGTTCTTGTAAACCGATTATACCTGTGTATCATTCCACCACATATGCAGTCTGTAGTTGGTCAGTATCTGCGGATGCTCATTGACATGACCAAGCGCCAGCTTGACACTGGGCATAACTCCACGTCCCGTGTACGAGTTCTCAACGCCATCACCATATGGGAAGAAGCCCGCTATATAGACATCGGAGCGTTTGGCCGTTCTTGACTGAACGTTACTCAAGCACAGGCTAAAGCACAGCAGCAGTGACAGGACCAGATGTGGATGGGACATGTTGTGTGCGCGGGCTGTAATGCCATTAAAGATCATCAAATGTGATAAACCAATTAAAAATAGATATGTACATATGTATGTATGCACATATGTACATACATATATTAATTTAAGAAAAAATGTTTTGAAAATAAAGGTTTATTTTTAATTAGTTCATATTATTTTTCAGAAATTTTATTATCCAGGATTTGCATATTGTATTTCTGTAACATACATACATACATGCATGCATATGTACATATACATATGTATATATATGCATCGGTTGCAATCGGTTTCAAGCTGCCTGTTTTACCAATTATGGTAAATACTTTTTCCGTTCAAATTAGTTTAAGAATTGTGTTTGCATATATGTATAAACAATGTTTAAAGCCTTCAAATGCAATGCACTTTTTTCTTGTTCAAAGTCAAACCCAGTAGTAGAATTATGAAATTGGTTCAAGGTGCTGCTGCGCCTGACAGGCTGTGCGTGTCGATGCATGTCACAATTAAAATTACAAGCACATGCACATACATACATACATACATACATACATAGGTATATACATACACACTTTGCATCCTCGTTAAAACATTCATATGTACACCTAATCGTCATTGACCTAATTGATCACAAATTCACAAAAGACCACGTAAAGGCTAATAATCATTTAATTTGCGTCCTTTCATTGTTCATGTTAATAGATTTTGTAGTAGCACAGTACACTTTATGGCACATACACACATGCATATGTACATACGTACAAGGCTGATACGTATTTTACAGTTTTTGTAACGATTATTTCCAGCGTTAGATTTGCATCTGATTTCAAATATACATATGTATGTATGTAGTTACACCTACCAGCGAGTTAATTGATGTGCACAACTTATTTAATAACTAAAGACATATTTAAATTGTTTTATTAAATTTCGTAAGCTGCGTTCGTTTCTTTGGAAGTTGCGAGGGTCCGAAAAATTGTGTATCCCCACAACTTGACAGTTGACCTGACAAAGCTAAAGGACATGGAAATGCGCATGCTTCGAAATTTGACAGCTCACGCTTTAGGCCACAGTTCGCATTGTCACAAACAGCACGAAATAACTGTAAACAACTAGACAACAGGTTGCAGAGCTTAAGGACATTTGTTTTGCTAGCTGTGTTCGCAGGCTAACGGCTGTTTTGGCATTGTTATGACCGTTGCCAGGGACTACGGAGACAGTATATAAAAACACCGAAAAAACAAAACTCAAATAAGGAGAGTGGTACTCAATTATCAAATTGAAATTATAGCCAAATAATGGATGACTATGCGCCCAGTCGCTATAAAATGCAAGATAAAATTGGCGAAGGTGTTCACGGTTGCGTGTTCAAGGCCATCGATTTGCAGCGCAATGTGGAGGTGGCCATCAAGAAGGTCGCATTAAAGAACAAATTTGGCAACATATCCTTGAGTACGCTGCGCGAAATAAAAACTCTTCAACTGTGTAGTTCGGAATATGTAAGTTACGATCTGATACCAATTCTTATATGTATGTTACAACACGTTGCTGTTGCAGATATTAAACATTATTGAGATATACCCCGATCTCACTGGCCTTTCGCTGGTGTTGGAGTACATGCCCGACACACTGTATGGTCGACTAAAGAGCGAAGTGAATCCGTTGAGCCGCCAGCAGGTGCGAAAATATGCCCTGATGATGTTCAAGGGCATGGCCTACCTGCATGAGGCGGGCATTATGCACAGAGACATCAAACCCGCCAATTTGCTAATCAGTCATACGGATGTCCTGAAGATTGCCGACTTTGGTTTAGCGCGCCTGTACTTCCCCGAGGAAGAGTCACGCCTTTATTCGCCACAGGTATCCACGAGGTGGTATCGTGCACCCGAAATACTCTGGGGCAGTCAGAAATATGGACCTGCCGTCGACTTGTGGGCATGCGGAAATGTGTTGGCCGAAATGCTACGCGGTGTACCGCTCTTTGCAGGCACAACAGATATCGAGCAATTGGCGATTATAATACGTACGTTGGGAAGTCCGCGTCTAAACGAATGGCCAGAGCTTACGGCGCTGCCGGATTACAGTAAAATAAGGTGAGATATTCGTTTGTTTAAACAATTGGTTGATAATTAATCAAATTGTTGCTGGCAGGTTTCCCAACTCGGTGGGCGTACATTGGGACAATCTGTTTCCAAGCTGCACACATGCTGTTGAAATTGATTTGGTCTCGAACCTAGTCGTATATAATCCAAAGAATCGTCTTAAGGCCACCGAGGTGAGCACTGAATTAATAACTAACATGTGACGCAATTACCATCCACAAATCTCTTTCCATCTTTATTTTCAGGCTGTCGAGCACAGTTATTTTCATTAATTTAAGATACTTGTATTTACACAATTAGTTGACTAACAGCTAAAATTATGCATTTAGGAGTTCTCCGACTCTTTGAATCTGTTTAATAAAAAAGAAATATTTAAGCGTTTGCTATTGATCCCTTTAATGTTGCACTTACTTGCACTTCAGACAGGTAAAGAATACGGTCTGACCTTCATCCGCCGAACGTAGCTGTAAAGTGGCATATGACATTTTGTCGTTGCCGCATTTGGGGCACTTGCGCTCTACAACTGGACCATCAGCCTCTGCAGTATCGGTCTCACGGTTTCCTTTTTTGGACAGCTTGCTGGGATCGTAGGAATTAAAGTGTATTGTGTACTCGGATGTCTCACCGCTATAAACTGAGAGACCGGCGTATTGAGTTTAAGCAATAAATTATTATAAACAATAGCTTACCATCTGGAGAGAACTCTTGTTTACAGTTATAGCAAAAGACGTTTCCTTTAACTTGCAGCGGCGGCAAAATTGATCCACAGGACGGACAAAATCCTGGGCGATTATTAAAAATTTCCATTACAAATCAAAACAAGTCTATTCCGCACGTGCAACTCACCAGTGTTGTGAAATATGCTTTTGTGTGCATCCATAACAGCCAGCTTTTGTGTGTGACAGAACTCATCTATTAGCTGATCGAAAACATAACACCCTATGAAACCAAACAGCTTTTTTTTTGCACAACAAAATTATCCACCGAGTACATGAATTTATTAAATACACATTTGTAAATGTATCTATTTAAAAAATAAAAGTATTATTTTTCTGATTTATCTTCCGCTTTGGCGGTTTCTTCAGCATCACTGCCGCTTGTCTCCTCCTCGTCATCATCATCGCTTTCGCTCTCGTCATCACCATCGTCATCGCCATCGTCCTCGTCGTCATCGCCATACGTATAGCCTGCGCTGCCACTAGCCCCATAGCCCCCATAGTAGCCACCATACCCCTCTTCGTCGTCACTGCCCATGCCTTGCTGCTGACGGCCAAATTTATGGGATCGCGTGGACATGCTCAAATCCTTTGTCACAGACGTTTCGTAATTGCACTTGGGGCAAGGTATAGCCTTGTTCTTATCATACTTGAATCCCTTGCGGCGCACATGGTCCTCGCAGTAGCAAGTCTTGCAGCGCAAGCATGAATATTGACCCAGACGATTGCATGATTGGCATTTATAGTTCTCCGACTCCAGCACCTGGCATGAGGCCTGATGCTCAAATTGATCGTCTTCACACAGAAAGCCATCGCAAAAGGAGCACTTAAAGATGCGTCCACCATGCTCCCAGACACCACGTTCGCACTCTAGGCACACAGCGTTCTGCAACGGGCAGGTGCAGGCGTGCGTGGTTAAGCATTTTCGCCCGTGACACACCCAAGCCTCGCAGAAGTCGCAAATGGCACCAACCATGCCAGGAAATCCTGTCGTGTACACGCCGGGATGTTTGATTACACAGTCGCCCGTCTTCAGCATGCACTTTATCTTGCCACATTGTGCACAAATGGGCAAACGCTGCACGCTCTGGCAGAAATAGCAAAAGGCACGAGACTTTTGCTTTTTCTCGCACTTGTCGCAGTCCATCGGTGCATTGCAAGGCAGATCAGCGAGAGGAACCTCTCGTCCCCTAATCTCCTTCAAACGTAACTTTTGCTTCTCTGCTTTTTTCCGCTGGCCGGTTTTCTTTTTCGGCATCTTGACTTGTGTGTCGTATTCAAATAACAAAAAGAACTAGTGAACTTTTTAAGATATGTCCGGTGATCAGAAGGTTTTCATATTTATGTAAGCTAGTATTTTTTGGTTAGTCTTCGTATGCTAATATATCAAAATACATACTTAGCCGAGATTATCTTACCAACAGAAATTAAGACTCTATATATGCTTATTTACAACACATTTTTTTTTTATGTATTGCGTACAAAGTATAAAACTTGAGAATCAATGGTATCAACAAAAATTTAACAACACCAGTATATATACATTCAGTCTGTTAATATCTAAGGTGAGATTTCTATTTAACGCCACAAATACATTTTCAGCAGCGTACTTTCCTAGGAGAAAAAAAATAAAAACCCTACACAACACTACTTTGAAAGTATCTTGACGTTTTCCAGATTCGGTCACACAGCTTGGCATTACATTTCAATTTTCATTATTCAAGTCAAACGGGTGAAGCATTTGTGCTGTGTCGTTTTTCGAAATACAAAGAAAAAAGTAATAAATTAAAAAATATATAAGATGGGCGGTCACAACGATCAAAATGGAAATTCTAATGGCCAGCATGATGATGTAAGTAGGAAAATTATAGGTGCTAAGATTTGATAAGTTGGGTGGTTGTATGCATGTGTGGGTACATACGCGAACTCGGTGACCGCCATTTTGAAATTTTCTACATGTGCGTCAGCGGGGTAGAGGTTAGGTTTTGCTTGGTGAAAAAAATCGATATGAAACTTTTGTTCTTTTATATTTAGGACTCGATTACTGAGCCAGAGCATATGCGTAAATTGTTTATTGGCGGTCTGGATTACCGCACCACCGATGACAATTTAAAAGCGCACTTTGAAAAATGGGGCCAAATTGTCGATGTGGTCGTCATGAAGGATCCACGTACGAAGCGCTCACGCGGTTTCGGCTTTATTACATACTCGCATTCAAGCATGGTGGACGAAGCCCAAAAGGCACGTCCACACAAAATCGATGGACGCGTCGTCGAGCCCAAGCGTGCTGTACCACGCCAAGACATTGACTCGCCTAATGCAGGCGCTACAGTTAAGAAACTGTTTGTAGGCGCCCTGAAGGATGATCATGATGAGCAGAGTCTGCGTGATTACTTCCAGCACTATGGCAGCATTGTTGACATCAACATTGTCATGGACAAAGAGACAGGCAAGAAACGTGGCTTTGCCTTTGTTGAGTTCGACGACTACGATCCCGTGGATAAAGTTGTGTGTAAGTACAAAATAAAAACACCTTATGTACCTTATATATGGACAGTCCCAGCTCCGCATAGCAATGTTTGATGTGTCTGTGCGGCGTTTCATGACTGTAAGAAAAATGTTGCACAAATTATATCTTTGTTAATTGGGCACCCTGTATGCCTAATTGATGAAAACGTATGTTCCACAATTGGTCAAACAATTAACACAGTACTGACAAATTGACAGGCTTGACCAACGCTTGTACGGTTTCCTTTTGAACGCTGTGAGATAAATAAAAGCGTCGGCTAAGCTATGTTATGCGAATGTATCTTAAATCCAAATTCAGCGTAACACGCAGCCTCGTTACATTAAAGCAATACAATTAGAATAAGAATGAGATATGTATAGAAACAAAGTATATTTTAAATAGCACTGGGTAATATGATCGCTCACTAAGACTTCAACCCCAGTCAGAAATTCGCACATGGATCCTTGTGCAGTTGTCTCAATAACCGAGTCGCTAAGAAAACTTATCTACCTCGGACCGCAATAATTAAGTAATATTTCACAGTCCCAGCTCCGCATAGCAATGTTTGATGTGTCTGTGCGGCGTTTCATGACTGTAAGAAGAATTATGCACGTATTATATCTATGTTAATTGGGCACTCTAAATGCCGAATTGATGAAAACGTATGTGTCACAATTGGTCAATAAATAAACACAGTACTGACAAATTGACAGGCTTGATCCACGCTTGTACAGTTTCCTTTTAAACGCTGTGAGATAAATAAAAGCGTCGGCTAAGCTATGTTATGCGAATGTATATAAAAAGCTTGTTCAGTGTAACACGCAGCCTCGTTACAATTTTATATATTAGGCAAATTACACAGTCCCAGCTCCGCATTGCAATGTTTGATGTGTCTTTGCGGCGTTTTTTGGCTGTAAGATTAAAACCCAGCCCATATTATATTTTAGTTATTGTTGTATTTGTGCATCAATGATCAAAAAGTATTTGGCACAAGTGGTTTTTGCTCAATCTAACAAATCTTGCCTCGTGTTATACATTACTTACAGTTTTTTCTATATTTTTTAATTGCAGTGCAAAAACAGCACCAGCTAAATGGCAAAATGGTGGACGTGAAGAAGGCTTTGCCGAAGCAAAATGAAATGGGCGGCGGCGGTGGGGGTGGTCGTGGTCAGGGTGGTCGCGGCGGTGGCGGCAATAGGGGTGGAAACATGGGCGGTGGTGGCAACTTTGGTAACCAGAACGGAAACTGGGGTAATCGCGGCGGTAATAACGACAATTGGGGCAGCAACAATTTTGGAGGCGGCTACGGCGGCGGCAACAATTGCTGGGGCAATAACGGACCCTGGGACAATAATTGGGGCAACAATGGCGGTAACTTCGGTGGCGGCGGCGGTAACGGTAACTGGGGTAACAATGGAGGCAATGATTTTGGTAACTATCAGCAAGGCTACAGCGGTGGTCCACAACGAGGCGGCAATTTTGGCAGCAATCGCATGCAGCCCTACCAGAGCGGCAACTTTGCTAACAAAGCAGGTAAGCATCAATCCAACATGTTTCATCAAATTTCACATACGATCACTTGAAGCTCCCAGTTCGAGTGCACAGCGAGAGCTAAGCGGTTTAAAGCGGCGCTGTGTATATGTGCTGGGCATGGGATACGTAGATAATTAGGAGTACCCTTATGGTACGTCCATAGAGTTTGACAGTTTTAGAGTTTATAAAAAATGCTGTGAAACGAATGCACAAGACTTTCTGATTATGCAGTCGTAACACACACCCACGTTGCAGTCCAGTTTTGTTTAGTTATTAGAGTAATCTTTTGGGTTTAGTTTTTGAGCAGACTTTTTAAAAGTGCATGTGGGTTTTCTTTTGTGTTTTTAAGGCGGTGGCAATCAAGGCAATTATGGTGGCAACAATCAGGGCTTCAATAACGGTGGCGGCAACAATCGCAGATATTGAGGCGCCCAGACGAGGTGAGCATAGTTATAAATTTAGTTAAGGACCCTAACAAACAAAAAAAAAAATTGCGATCAACCACCCAGCCATATATATATATATATATATATATGTATGTATATATATATTTATTTATAAATATATTTGAATATATTTTTCGTGTTATTTTGTTTGTTTTGCAAACAATTTGCGTAGGTTTCTTGCGTTTAAAATATAAATACACATATAGCTGTCTTTTTATCTTATCGGCATTTTCCTGGTAGCTTCTAACAGCATCTTAGTATCGATATCGAAGATTGAACAAATTTTTTCTTTTAAAACTCCTTTTGAACTTTTTGCAAACTAATCTTTTTAAGTATTTATTTTGTGTAAACGTAATTAGAAAAAAAAAACCATTTAAGTACTGTTAGAATGCTTTACAATAATTTATTTAAATAACGTTTCTCATTTATCGACATTTTATAGGTGGTAAATTAGCAGTGGCTCAGTTTATTCCCAAAAGTCAAAGTCAAGTAAACGATACGCAATTCAATGATATGAGTAACAACTCATATACCTAAGAAGTTTTCCGAGAACATCCATACCAATATCATGACAGAGAAGATAAATATCAGGAACAGTGCAGTGCAGTCGTGTGAGATTGGTTCAGTCAAAGTCAGTACAAGTACAGAGCAGAGCAGTATGTGTGTGTGTGTGTGGTGCGTTTATTCAGAGAGCAGTTGCAACAGCAGCAGCAGCAGAGTTAACAGAACTTACAAATGCAGAGAAGAGAGAAGTGAAATGAAGAGAAGTGAATTAAGCAGCAGCGAGACCCTCACACATACGCATCCAGCAGTACACGTACACAGCAGCTGGCCAGGATTCAATGAGAGTAATTTGCACAGTTACGATACGATATTATGATATACGATAATTGATTTAACACACACGTCAACCTACCTATTCAATATTCAAAATAGAATAATATTTATATTCACCATTTTGTAGCCAACCTATAATTAAAACAAAAGGAACATTGTAAAATAGTAATGTCGCATACAACTTGTGCATCAAAAGCAAACAACTCAAGTTAAATTTTGTACCCTTGTAGCCACAATCCTTCAGTAAGCAGTAAGATTACATAGTATATACAAACACTATAAAAACGAAAACTTCAGGGCGGCAGCCGATTAAATCTATATTCAAGCGACCACCTCCAATGGTTGAATGGCTATCGCCCACAATTTCTGATAATCAGTGCAAAAATCTACACAACTCTATATTTAAAAAATGTATTAATATTTTTCTTTAGGTTTAAGCTTCTCATAATTTTAAAATCGAGTAGAGCGTGCGCTCAATTTTTTCAAGAGCCGCTCGCGCTGCTCTAGCATTAAATAATACATATATTTACATATATATATCTTAGCGAGGAGGAGCTTCTTATGCTCGTTTTTGTAAGTGACTATGACGCATTGAACTAAATTATCTCCCAATGTTTAGTTGTAACCAAAAGAACAATTAATTGTAACCGACACCTTGTAGCAGTTTGTATGCAGTTCTCAAAGGTCAGCGCAATTAAGGATTTCTAATATGTTAACAAAATTTACATTTTAATGTAGCAAAGAAAGATATAAAATACAGCAATGAATTTATGTAAAATTGACAAAAAAAAAAAAAAGAAAAAGAAAACAAACAAAAAATACCAAAAACAAATCAAAAATGTTGTTTAGTTCAAGCCTAGTCTTGTTTATTTATTCATATCTAGTATAAGTCTTGTATTTGTTTAGAACAGGCGAAAGGCGCAGCAGCAAAGCAAGCACAAAGCAGGTGCCAAAGTACATTCCTATGTAAGTTGAAAGAGGCAATTAAGCTGGTAGAAGAGTCAGTATGCCAAATATTTCATAATGGTAGCGATAATTGTGGGCGGGCACCTTTTATAATTTTTTAATTTCGATTTATTTTCATTTAACCTGGTTTCCATTTGGAATGCACACATTGTATACCCGTTATATGTCATTTAAAATTATATATATTGTAATTTTTGTTCCAAGTTGGCTAAAAAGTAATGCAAAGCGCTGAAATGACGGTCGCCAAGCTAACTCAGCCATAAAGCGGACTATCTACACTTGCAATTGGGTCAGCACTGCTAAACATTTGCGGCAACCCTCGGAATGGTCGACTTGGGTAAGTTTTAGCTGCACACGTAAACAGGGAAGTGTTGTAATTTTCAGGTAACCATTTAAACGGATGGAATCGCGCTGCCTACACAACTTAGTATTATTTATTATACATATCTAAATTTTTAAATAAATACCGAAACCTTTAAAGCAAATTTGTTTTTATTTAAAATAAAATACCGCTCTATTTATGTGCTGGCAGTGTGTACACACTTCGACAGTAACCGATAAGTCCTCTGTGTTAATTAACATTTTCATCGCATGTTAAATTGATGCCGATAAAGATGTGCGTTGGTGTAAATTTGGAAGAGCGACGTCACGAGCAAAAATAACAGACTTGTATACTACCAGATTCATTGAGATTTTCTTAAATGCAAGGGAAACGCTACTCGCCATATAGATATAATAAAAACAAGTTAATTTTTGGGGCGTGCTTAGCAAGCACGGTATGCGCACATCTCTAATTGCATTGCTAACTGCGACTGTTAATTAACAGTGTTTCGACACTGTTTTGCTAAGCAAAGTTCAAGAATATTTAAAATATATTAAAATAAATATACGCTGCAAACGTTAACCGATTTTCAGACGCTTCGGTAAATTAATAATGGAGACCAATCACACAGTCCAATTTATGTATAACTACAAGGATTATGCAGGCAAAGATTGTGAAGCCAAGCTGGATATTAAATTGCCTTTTGAGGATGAAAACCTTGAGGAATTGGTTACACAGCTTTTAGCTCAAATGGATCCAATGATGCGATATTTGGACGAAGACATAAGTAAGTGAAATAGATATAAAAGAACAGCTATCTCTTATCAGACACTCCCCAAAAAAGATTTAGAAGAGGAACTAAAGTCGTTTATTGACCGGGAGCATCAGAAATTCCACGATGACTACGCTGAGAATTTGATCAGTCAAGCGGCCAACGAAGAGCTAGACTTAGAATCTATAGTGCGAAATACAGAACGTCTGTATAAAGAAGAGTTGCTTCAATTTGCAGATCGCATTGGTCCAAGCGATGAGGACATATTTGCGCAGAGCTTTCATCGACTGGTGCATTCCTCCTCTTTAGAGGATATACTAAAACGGGAACGTGGCTATGCTAAGGTCATAGCCGACAGGACCGAGCATATGGACTGTGAGGTGGAAACGTTAAAAAACTCTCAACAGCAGGAAATGGACAGTCAAATCAATCAGCTGGACATAACGACAACATCGGAGGACATTAACAATCTGCTGGCACAGCAATATACCACGCACAACTTTGTACGAAAGCGTTATGAATCCGAGCTGGAGGCCATGATGGGTCATCAGAAAAATGAGTATCGTAACTGGATTACCAGTCAAGTTAGTCAAATGTTCCAAGTATCGCCAGTCTCCACTCCACTGGGCAATCGCTCCTCTATGTTCGTCTCGCAGCAGCCTTCGATGGAGGAGAGCTTCACCATACATTTGGGCTCTCAACTTAAGCACATGCACAATATTCGCATACTCAGCGCTAATGTGACGGACCTGTGTAGTCCGCTGCACGCGGATGAAAATTTGATTGGTCTCAACATGGCTTTGGGTCTCTACTCAAGCTCACTGTGCGGCGTGGTCGTGCTGACTCCCTCTATACAGGCACAGGCTAATAAAAGCATAATCAAGAATGCGAACAGATCGACTGAGTTTCATTTTGATCAGATGGATGTGCAGCTAGAAAAGATAGAGAAACAAATTCGGGCACTCAACACCAGTGGCACAAGCAACTCGCCGAGTAATGGAAGCGGCAGTGGCAGTGGCAGTGGCAACAGTGCCGAAGGCAGCGCCACATCGTCGCCAATTAAACAGCATGTGCCCAAGCTAAAGACTGGCGATTTTTTTATAACCAAACACTCGAATCTCTCACAATCGCACGTCATATTTCATTTGATATCCGATGAACCCATCAATAGTCCCAGCGAAATAAATTCACGCCATCCAGTTATATTGGGTCTGCGCAGCATTTTAAAGACCGCCAGTCGGCATGATATAACCACATTGACAATCCCAGCCCTGCTGCGCCACGAGATGAGCGAAGACATGACAGTACAGTGGTGCATTCGACGCGCAGAGCTCGTATTCAAATGCGCCAAGGGTTTTATGATCGAATCAGCATCTTGGGGCGGCGCGGAGTTAAGGTGAGCTTTGGATTATTAAATTATAAGATTGTCAGATCATAATTAGTTTCCTTTGTCGTTTAGTACCTTGCAATTGTTGCTGCCACACGATATCTCTGAGGAGCTGTTCACTACATTGGCGGGCATGGTGCCCAATGTATTCCGTGTTGCCAATCCAAAGGTACTTGTTGATAATAACAAATAGTTATTCGTAAACACATTCCAAGGGAAATATTTAGACTCACATTTATTTATATGAATATACAGTTTATTAGGCTTTATAGTTTATATTTAAATGTATATGCTTCGTTTCATGTCGCAAACAGTTGTTTAAACTAAAAACACACTCAGAATTGCTGTAAATGTTCCTGTATCCAATTTCGACAATATAATTATCCATAGTTTATTAATTAAACTTCAATGCAAACGTTTTGCAAACTACAACACTACTTTTGTATAAATACATTTATATTGTATAGGTAATCTTGTGTGTGTATATGTATTTATGTATATTATTTCCAAATTTAAATGTTTATCTTTGGTTTCATTAGACCCCGTCATGCGATTTGTGTCCATTTTTGTATGGGTGTGGGTGTAATTCAGTTTGTGTTGTTCGGTTATCTATAATGGTTAATATGAATCTTCGAATAACTCTGCTTGTTGTTAACTTGTAAATATGCGTTTTGTCAAATAAATATATATATATATATATATATGTATTCATGTATATTTAACAATTAATTACGTTATGTTTCCTTTCAATCAACATTTCGCTGTTAATATCTTTTTTTTTTGGATTTAGCCAAGTACGTTGTATAGTTGTCTGCCTGCTTGTGTTTTGCTGCTTTGCAGTGAGAGATAGAGTTTCAGAAAATATTATATCTGAAACTTTGTTAATTTATGAGTGTTTTGCGTCTACAGGTCTTTCGGATCTCGAATCAATAAAACATGGGTTTGTGTGTGTGTGCTTAAAATGAGTACAGGAACGGGTTACATGAAGTGTTTTGGGATGATAAAAGAAATTTTGGGCTTAATGAATCATGCCATAGAAAAGTTGGTAATAAGTTTAGAAACTGATTATAAAATTGACGTAATCAGCATCATTATATACTCATATATCTCAGTTTCATATGTTAAAATTGCTTTAATTCTAGTTATAAAATAAATTATATTATTCAGCCATTTCTTGAATATAGTTAATGTTAATGTAGTATGGCGCATATAATTTGATGTGTCGTAGCAGACCAAATAAAACTCTTTAATAAAATAATTGAGTTTCTGCAGCATAACATATTCCATAAATAAATTAAAACAAATTGGTTCCAGCAACGGGAGACTGAAGTATAATTTTTTGTCTTGTATTTAATTGTTATTTGGTTTTTATTTTTTCACCCTTGCAGAGACATTTTACATTTTTTTTTGTTTGAATCTGTTTTGTAGATGAGAAACGGACTAGCACATCATTGAGTTGCCATAGGAACAAAAGTTCTTAAATGGATTTGTGTGTCTGCAAGGGTATTTAATTTTCGGCATGCCGAAGAGCATAATTTTTGTTGATTTTTAATTTCGATGCTACTTGTTTGGAGTTCTCTACGATTGCATGCCAAAAAATGTACTGAAATACTCTATAATCGTTGATGAATCTACACAGCTTAATACTTTGCGCGTGCCCTAAACTACGGTCTTGCAAATAGGTCTAGATGTATTTTTAGTTATATATGAAATAAGAATACATAATACGTGTGTATACTAAAATTGAAACTATCACAAAAAAACAAATACTTTTTATATAAAGTATAAACTCAATAAGGTCAAAAACGAGCTACTGTAGAATTCAGTATGCAGGTTTATGTCTGTGTCGGTCGCCCTGGGTTTACATTTGACTCTCCTTGCGCCACTGAAAGGTGCCCGACTTGACACCAATGCTGGATGAGCCCTGATTGCTGCTAGAGGAGAGCATGTTGTTGGTGCGTCTAATGAGCTGTGCCGCCGAATCGAAGCGGCTGCGAATGAGCCGCATTGCCGGATTGCTCGAGACGCCGCTGCGTTTGCTCTTGCTGCTTGAAGACGAGAAGAGAACGAGTTACAATTGGAGCTCCCGCTTAGTCATGTCTACTGATATCTTACCTCGATGAGCTGGGCTGATTCTCCTTTAGATTGCCCAAAATGATGCGCATATGCGTATCCCGCGCAAAATGATTATCGGGCAAGGCGGGCTTCGAACCGCTACCACTAGGTCCAGCACGGTCATCATCCACAAAGGCATTCAAAGCGGGCAGCTGGCCCGGTGAGCTCAGCTCGCTGCTGGGCGAGTGCGGAGGCGTTGCGTATAATGGTGACATGCATTCCATATCATATAGGTCCGCCTCATTAGTCATGTTACTTGCTGTGTAGAAGAGTATTAGACATGTGGTATATGCTCTGCAACTATAAAGAAACTTACCCAGCTGGTGCTCGTTGAGATCGGGGAGCATCTGTGAATGCCGCTGATGGGCGCCTGCGCCACTATTGCTGCTGGATTTGTGAGCCGCTGCGGCCGAGCTTGATGCATGCTTCGAGTTGACCATCAGATTGTTGCGTGAGCTAAGCTTGCTTTGACGCTGCAATTGCTGAGTGAAAGTGAGCGGCGCCTGCTGCATAAAGGAAGAGCACATGGAGACGTCATCAACTGGCAGCCTTGGGCATAATAAAGCTATACTCACATCGTTGCTGCTGCCCGTGGATTGACTAGAAATGACGCTCTTGCGCTTGTGCAAGCTGCTCGTATCTGATTGCATGGTGTTCTGATAGAAGTTGTTCGAGCTGTGCGTAGAGCTGGAGGCATTCAGCGCCTGCAGATTGCTACCATTGTGCACCGTAGCAGTGGTGGCTGCTGAGCAAACCGAGGAAGCGGAAGCGTGTGCCGGATACGGAGCTAAGTTTTGGTGCAGGGGCAGAGCCGGCGGCTGGTCTGGAGAGCGCAGCATGCTGGCATGGAATTTCGCTTCATTGGGATTGCTAGCTTCATCTATAGAGGAATAGAGGTAAGTGGATAAGGGATTTAATAACATGACAACAGACTTTTACGTCTGCTATTGCGCTTACTTTTGGTATAGCTCTCAAAGATCTTGAGTATGCTGCTGCGACTAGACTTGGCCGCCAGCTTAATGGGCGTGCGCCCGCAGTGATCCGATTTGTAGGGATTGGCTCCGAACTGCAGCAGCGCAATGACACACTTCTCGTGACCCTCCTGTGCGGAGATACCTAGCGCTGTGGCGCCCTGCTTGCACGCATGGTCCGCCAGGGCGCCATAGTAGAGCAGTATATTCATGACATCATGATTGCCCTGCCAGGCACACGAGTGCAGCGGTGTGCGCGCTTCCAGGTCCATTGAGTTGACATCGGCGCCAGCCTCGATAAGCGTCTTCACCATGTCGGCATGACCCTGCCAGGCTGCTACATGCAGCGCAGTGCGTCCCTCGCTATCGGGAATGTTAACATCCACATTGGTCATGTCCAGCAGGTACTTGACAATGTCCAGCTTGTTCTCGAGTGCCAAAATATAAAGGGTGGTGCGCGAGTCGGCGTCCTTGGAGTTGACATCGCAGCAGAACTTCAATAAGAACTCCACCGTGTCCATGTGACCCTCTAGGCAGGCCAGACGGAAAGCGGTCTTGCCATCGTGCGCCTTCTGATCCACAAAGCTGGAGTGTATGTCAAGCAGGGTCTGTACGCAGCGCAGGCGTCCCTCTTGGGCGGCCAAATGCAGCGCCGTCTTGCCCTCATTATCGCACTCATCGATCTTGGCGCCCGAGTCCAGCAGCTGCAGGCACACCTCATGGAAGCCCTCGAAGGCGGCATAGTGCAATGGCGTCCAGCCGGCATTGTCGCGATGCGTCTCGTCCAGGCCGCGATCCAGCAGCTGACGCACTGTCTCCACATTGCCTTGAGCAGCGCCAATGCTGAGCACTGTGCGACCCTCGGAGTCCATGCAATCGATGCCGCAGCCCCAGAAGAGCAGCAGTCGCACTACGGTGGCATGGCCAGCAGTGCAGGCGGCCCAAAGCGGTGTGCGGCCCATGAAGTCAGCCAGATCCGGATCGGCGGCATTCTCCAGCAGCAGCTCACAGACCTCGGCATTGCCCTCAAACGAGCTAACAAGTAGCGGTGACATGCCATCATTGTCCAGCTGATCCGTGTTGGCGCCATGATCCAGCAACGTGGAGATTACCTTGCTATAGCCCGAGGAGCCACAGAGAGCGGCCACACACAGTGCGCTGCGCCCGTCCAGATCCAGGTGGTTAACATTGGCGCCATTATCCAGTAGAATCTCCACAATGTCATAGTGTCCCATGTACGAGGCGGCAATCAGGGAAGTGCGTCCTTGGCGATCCACAGAGTTGACGTCCGCGCCCGATTCAATCAACAGCTTCAGGATGTCCTCGTGGCCACTCCAGGCGGCGGCGCGTAACGCAGTGCGTCCTTCCTTGTCAGCCAAATCGATTTTGCATGCGGGCTGCGCAATGAGCAGTCGGACGACCTCACTGTGCCCGCCCCAGGAGGCGGAACGCAATGGTGTCCATCCATCGCGATCCGCATGGTTAACATCCACACGCTTCATGCGGCCGGTGCCATCGTTGCAGGGCTGCGAGAAGCTAAGCAACAGCTTGACCACCTCCAGGTGGCCGTTTCTCGAGGCAATGTTGAGAGCTGTCTGGCCGTTATAATCCTCTATCTCAAGATCAATGGGACTCTTGCAGGCATTTAGAGCGCGCTCCAGCAGCTGATGGTTGCCATCGTTGGCAAGTATATGGATCAGGGCTTTGCCCTTGTGTAGCTCAATGTGATGCGAATCGGAGAGCTGATGCAGCGTGCTCGAGGCATTCTCGTCCTGGCTCTCATGCGGCGGTTCACTCTGCTCCGAGGGGCTGATCGTGCGCTGCGTCTCCAGCAGGCAGCTCTTCTCGCTGGACAGCAGCAGATCGGCCAGCTCAAAGTCAATGTTCTGTGACTTCTCCGACAGCTCCGGCGACATTAGCGACGACTCGCAGGAGTTTTGTGTGTCGGCATTATTGATGCCCGTCTCGATCAGCAGCTTCAGCATCTTGGCATCTGTCGGCAGACTGGGCTTGAAGAAATCGCAGAGGAACTGCGCAAACGGTTCGCTCAGCTCGTTGGTCAGAAAACGCTCCAGCATGGAGCGTGTCTTGGCCAAAAAGTTGACATCATTCTTGAAGTCGTGCTCGCACTGGGCGCAACAGTTAAAATGATTTGTATAGAAGCAATCGCTCAGGTTCAGGCGAGACTCTAGCAGCATCAAGATGAGATCCAGATCGATGTGCCGGCTGGTCAAGTACTCGCCGGACTTAATTAGATGATAGGCGAAGCGGCGCACCGTGTTGGCGCACAGCGTATCCGCCACCAGCAGGTAGTACATGGAGATCATGACATGGCCCTCGTTCACATCGCAGATGAACTTTTTGGTGGCGAACTTCACATCCACCAGCCAATCCGCGAAAGAGTTGTGGAAAATCTTCAGCCGTTGCGCATTCGCATCATAGGCCAAAATGTTGCGCATGAGCTGCAAACGCTTCTCGAACTCCTGGCAATCGATGGTGTAGTTGTGTGTGCGCAGACAATTGAAGAGGAAGAGCTTGTCCACGTAACCGGAGGAGGCGAGCAGCACGTTGAGTAGCGGCCGTATCTTCATGTACTGCTTCTTGTTGAAGGACTTTTGGCAGATGTACAAGTACAGGCCGTTCAGGGTGCATGGTATTAGCTTGATTTCGCGAAAGCTGAAAAAGTTGTCCTTGATGCCGTGCAGCACCTTCTCTAGGTACAATATGCAGCCATTTGATTTGATGTAGAGCTGATGGAGCGACTCGATGATCTCCTTGGTCAACATGATGCTGTCCTTGAAATCGGAATTTAAACGATTTATGATATACTCCTGCACATCCTTGACCACGTGCGATTTGCGCAAATCATCCAGCGTTATCTTCTTAAAGCCCGTAAACATTCTAGTTATTTGCTTCGTCTGCTTCTTGGTGGTGCAAACGAGGAACAGCCACTTGGGAAAGAGGTGTATGTGGTTCGAGAGTAGCTCGGCCACGTTGCGACTCTTGTGGCTGGTCACCGTGCCGCGGCCACCCTTAAGCGTGGATATCAAATTGCCCTCATTGATGTAGTTCTCATCGATGGAATCGATGAGCAGCAGCAACGCGGTCTTTGGCGGCGTTAGCTCGAGCAGTGGGAAGAGCAGCGCCTTCTTGAAACACTCATCGGGATTCTTCTCAATGCTGTCAACGCTGAGGCACTCGAGAATCTCCGGATTGGACATCAGCAGCTCGTAATAGCCATCGGCAATGATGGTGCGGCAACTCTTTGTCTTGGGCAGCGGTGGCGGCAATGTGTTGCTGCTGTTCCTAATCTTTGGCTTTTCGCCAGGCACAGGCGGTATTATGTTTGTTGTGGTATGTGCGTCCTCCTTGGGTAGCTCCACACGCTCCGCACTGGCACCAAAGTCAATGAGCAGCTCCGCCTCTGACTTTTCCGGCTCCTCATTTGTTGTTTCCTGCTGCGACGCCTTCTCCTGCGGCTGCTCATCTGTTAAATCCTTGTCCGCCTCGGGCTTGTCTTCGTTGTGCTTCTCCAGCTTGTCATCCTTGATGGCCGCCTCAATCTCACTCTTTAGCTGCTCGCTAACCAAATCGGCAATATCCTCGCCGCCGCCCTGCTGTATGGCCTGGCTATTGCTGTTGACAGCTGTGGCCGTGACCTGCTTGGCCGGCGAGGAGACGCCGCTGCCGGTACGACCGCGCTTGACGGGTATCTTGGACTTGGACTTGACGGGACTGCTTTTGGGCACCTCCTTTTCCTTCTCTTTCTGCTCACGAATTTGCTTCTGTTCCTTTTCGCTGCCCGTATCCTTGTCCTGTTCGCCGCGCTCCTGAACTGCAGCACTGCCGCCACGCTTGGGCGGATGTGTGCCATAGTTGTTGGTGGCGGGTTTCTCCGTCAGATCCGATAGGTCGGGTGATAGCAGACACTGTGCTGGCGCCGGCTCCGATTGCTGTCGCGTTAGATTGGACTTTGCCGGCTTCTGAGTGGTCGAAGTGCGTCGGATTTGAAAATTGTCCAGCTCCTTGGTATCGCATTCGCTTGCGCCACGCTTAAGCTCCTCGATGAGCAGTTCCTCGGCGTTCTCGCTGAGCGTGATATTGTTCATTGCCTCGTCCAACTTAGACTCCTGCTGTTGGGCTTCCTCGCGCAGAAAGGAGAAGCCCTCGTCGATGATCTTCTGGCTATCGTCCCGGCTTATTAGCGAGGCATGGCTGAGCAGCTGCAGCACAATCTTGCGCATAAAGAGCGACAGGCTGTGGCACTCAGGATTCTGCGACTCGATCAGATAGCAGGCCAGCAGCTTGCGATTGAGTATACCCTTGGTGCCGGAGTTGCCCTTCATGATGGCCTGGCAAATAGAGGTCTTTCCAGAGCCATTTGAACCCAGCACCAGGCACCCATTATAGCTGGAGCTGGATATGGCCGCCGCCTTGGCGCGCGCCGACACATAACCGGCACTGGCAGCGCCAAGTGCAGCCGGCATAGGCTTCTTGCCAGCCGTGCGCTGCTCCAGGCAGAGGGCAATCTTCTTGAGCACCCACTCCCGATGTATATAGACGGTGCTCACAATGCGATGATTGCTGGGCTCCAGTGGCGCCAGGCCGTTGACTTCCTTATCCGGCGAGTGCTTGCGCTGCATCAACGACTCCAAGTTGGCGGCTGTCTCAGGGGCCGGCTGCAGCTGCTTGTCGAGCTCCAGGCCATCCTCTTCGGGAGCGGAACTGATGGCGCCGCCATTGGTTGGCGCCAGCTCCAGTGCGAAATTCTGTTGCACCAGATTGGCAAAATGCTCCTCGCGCGCCAAATTCGAGAAGCTGGCATTGGGACAGTCGCGGCCGCTAATCTCCAGCTTCTTGTGCACCTGCGTGGTGTCCTTCAGAAAGTTGAGTATGCGTCGATCCTCCAGCTGCTGATTGGGTGTACCGCTGCCACCCAACGAGGCCGGCTGATTGTTGTACTTGGAGCCGCCGACCAGCGCACTTGTGGATGCATTTGCATCCGTTTCACGTTCCACGTGCTCCTCCTCATCATTGGCATCCAAATCGGTGACCGGCACGGGATTACCATTCCGCACGCTGGCCAGCCGATTCGAGTCTCGCAAATTGGACAGCTTGGCGTCAGACGAGGCTGCTTCCATGGCCACACCATGGCGACTGCGTTCGCTGCTCTTGTAACGATCCGATTTACGCAGCGGCGTCGCATAGAGCATCTCCTTGGGCATGTTGCCAGTGACAGCGTGATGCTGTTTGTTGTTTCCTGACACCGAATTGCAGTTGCCTAACGAGCTGGAGTTGGAGTTGGAGTTGGCATTTGGATTACTGTTGCCGAAATGGTTCACCGACTGCTGCCCGCCAGCCTGTGAGGACTTCTGAGGATGTTGCTGTTGTTGGTGCTGATGCTGCATTTTGCGCACGGATTCATTATACATGGCCTGACAGGGCAGATTCTCGTAGATGTCATTGCGCAGATTATCGTTGTCTGTGTGCTTAGACATTGTTGTTGACGTCGTCGTCTATTGGACAACTCCCAGCTTTCGAGTATTTACACTGCGGTGCGTTGTCCTTGTGTTAAGTTTAAGCAAAGTCTGCTGTCTGCAAGGAAACAGAATAAAACCGAATTGCGGGTTCTCATTAAGTATTTGCTGCAACTTATCTTTAGATATGCTTTGATTATTCCATTACGGCTTTAAAGATATACGATATTGGCCCACATTCAACTAACTTTGCTCTTATGTGCCTCAGATTTCGCTTCTTTTGCCACAACGAGCAGCTTTATGTCTCAGCTTGTTGCCAAAGTTGTCTTTTTATATGTTTCCTTCCCTTTTTTAGCATCCTGTTAACAATTGACCTGATTTTTCACACACTCTTTACCCTTTGGCAGAGCACACGCTTCACACATTCACAGAGTCAGTTAAACAAATCACCCAACCACAAGGCTGACATAGGAGGGCGGTTCCATAAGGATCGCAAGATATTTCAAAGAAGGTGAACCCTTTAAACAAAGCTCTTGAGCTACGAAGTGCCAAAGACATTCTTTTGTGTACACATATAGTGAATGTTTTGTTTTGTTTATACTTAGCCTCATAAATTTTAAGCCGATTTTTCCAATTGGAGCTTCATATATGATGTAGCAGTCCGATGCACATACATACATATGCTAGGACCATACTTGAGCTCATAATTGAAGAGCTCGGTCAAGTCTGCGTCTTTATGAAACAGTTGCTAAAATTAAGCTGATTTTTATGTATATCAAATAAGACTACAAACTTATAAGGAAGCATATGCAGGCAGTATATGAGGTGGCACATGAATATATTTATTTTATTACAAATATATTCAATTCTATTGCACTTATTTTAGGTTTTTATACCCCCCTGAACTTATTGAAAATTTTACTCATTATACCCAGGGGTAAAATGTATTTGTGCAAATGTATGTAACAGGCAGAAGGAAGCATCTCCGACTACATAAAGTATATATATTCTTGATCAGCATCAATTGCCGAGTCGATCTAGCCATGTCCGTCCGTCTGTCTGTCTGTCCGTATGTATGAACGCAAGGATCTCAGAACCTATAAGAGCTAGAGACTTGAAATTTTAGCTGTAGGTCCTCCTAGTCCCCGCGCAGATTTTCCGATAGTCCCCGTTTCCAAGAAGTCGATAAAAATTTCGGCAAATAATATGAGCTAGAGTCAACAAACTTGACATGTAGCTTCTAGAAAAGTATATATATCAAGTATTTTTCATTTTATAGTTATCGCCTGTCGGAAGAAGAGGGTTCAGGGTATCCCCTAGTCGGGAGCTCCCGAATAGAACCTCTTACTTGTTTTTTTTTTGCATATTGATAACATTAAAAGTGCATTTGATTATTCTTGTATATAGTCGGAAACTTTTGAACCAGCCCTCGTATGCACATTTTTGTCATTATAGTTTTTAGAGCTTGTCTCTGGTTACAGTCTTTTGTTCTCGGTTTTTATCTGAGCCGTTTATGTGCAATGTGCGTGGGTGGTTTTGGGTGGTTTTGTGTGGCTCCCCGATGGCAGCTCGGGGATCCTCGTGCTGAATGCTGCGCAAATAACACTCTTTATGCAGCAAAGTTTTTATTTTAAACTTCAATTTACTTGCTGCGTTCCAAACACAGCTCTTGGGCGGCTTGTGTCTGTGGGGCGTAGTTGGATTGAAGTGCTGTTGGGCAATGTAACTAATGATGCGTTCGGCGCTTGTTGTGCAAGTTGCAAACGGAAAATGGAGCAAATTCAGCACGTTCGCTAAACGAAATGGCTGAGACATTAGGGCAAAGAGAGACCACAGTATTCTAGCTATAAAAATCGATGAAAACACGAAATGATTTACGGCTTGCAGTGTTTGGTGACGCTGCCAGCAGAAGAGTTGCCACAAAGTGTGGCAAGCACAATAACGTCGACATTTGATTAATTACCATAATGTAAGCAAGTCAGACGTAAAATCTTTTGATTAACCAAGTGACAGGACACACACTGACACACCCACACTGACACACAAGTCCTGTCGACCATTCGTCAAAGCCAAATGAAAACTCGGTTGGTTGAAGTGCTGTCTGTGCTGCCTGCAACCACAAATCCGTTTCTTGCCCACAATTGCCACAGTTGGAGCTGTGGATGCTGTTTCAAGAGTGACGTTTAGCTTATCGTAATTATTGATGCGTGGCACTCGCTGCCAGGAGCGGTTGAAGTAGCCCACACTGGAACTTTCTTAAATATTAAAGTATTTACAAAGGCTGGGCAATATTGAGACTCAAAGAGCACAGATCTATGTTGAATTGAGTATATTGTCTTCATATACACAAGAGAATTATAAAAATGAATATCTTTTGGCATTACTTGAGATCATGAAAATCGCATAGAACGGCGGTATTTATACGCGAGCGTGCGTGTGAGAGAGAAAGGGGAAAGAGGGATATCTGATATGAAGTAAACTCAATTAACTGTATTACGATTCGAATATTATTTAATAGACAAATATATTATCATGCCTTTATTGCACGTTTCTTGTTGACCCGACTGCCTTCTGAACCGCTCCTGTGTTCAATCCAACCAAGCGGAACTAACACCCACATTGCTGGCACTCAGCACAATCAAGTTTTCTCTTATTCACTGCGAATGCAATTTCCATTGAACTATTTTGCAATCTATGCGTTTCTCAATCATAAATCGAATTTGTTTTGATTTCATCTTTTTATTTCAAAAGCTAATCAAATCGATGGGTTTTATTGCATTTTCTATGCACTCGAAGGTGACTAGGTTTTATTCAATTTAATATTTAATAGAAGGTCAGATGTCAAATTAGGTTGTATTTAATTATTTGAAATGAATTTATCCTGAATTTTCAAATAAAAAAAAGCCACACAAACTTTGTAGATAGAAAGAACGAAAATGTATACAAATTGAGGGTGGTAGAGCACGAGGAGAACGTGTCAACTGCAAAAGCAGCCTAATTGGAATTTTGCAAGCATCAAAGTCAACTTGAACGAAGTTCCATTAGTTTTTCACGCTTTTTAAAAGTTTAATTGGATCGCTTGTGCACTTAAGTTAATTAAACATACGACACGCTTGAAATACGCATCCTGCTCTTATTTAAATAAGGTAATGGAGGAAATACATTTCGCTTTCAATCATTTGCAGGGATTTGTTCAAACTTTGCCATGAAACTTTGTTCTTTAAACGGTGAGAGTATAGTAGAATGTGAAATTCAGTTAAACGGATATCCGAGCAGTACTTTACTCAGATAAAAACTCTAAAAACTAAGATATTGACACGCATTTATTTGTCAACGCCACGCCAACAAGCTGTATTTATTTAAGAGCTCTATTTCAAATTGCATTTTTTTGACTATTTGACAGCATCATTTTCAATAACATGTATTTGTTTAGCCTGCCTTTCAATGAAACACACATAAATCTACCCATATATAAATATACAACAATATTTGTAAAATGCTTTCTTCTCTTTATGACCCAGAGTTCAAACAATAAAAATATTCCATGCAAATGTGCGCACGTTGTAAAAATAAGTATCATCAACAAGCTGCCAAAATTAAATGTAAACAATTGAAGTGCCTTAACGAATACGAAACAAATTTCATTAATTTGCGTGAAATAAGTTAAACCAAAAAGTATTTCTGACGATGAATATAAGTATGCCAGGAATGTAAACACGAGCACAGACACACGCACACACATGTGCGTACTCATGTGCGTGAGTAATGAATAAATAAATAAATAATTGCACGCCTCGCAAGCGGCGCATATGGCGCAAGGAATGTAACTACATTTTGAGCTTGCAATTGTATCTGTATCTGCCACTGACAGCAGCTGCCCGAACTTGAGCCTCGGCAGCGTGGGAACTTAACAGTTTTCCAGAATTTTAAATGCTCCTTGCCGCATGACGGGATAACAAAAAAAAAAGCAGACAACATTTTGACGTTTGCTAGCTAAAGGCGGCTGCAACGTGAAACGGGCGTAATTGAAATGTTGCAAGTTGCAACTAAAAATATACTATGTATATAAAAAGAATGTATTTAAAGGATGTCTGACAGGAAACGCGCCATTAATTTGTATTTGCATTTTACCTATTTTAAAATGCTTTTTTTCTTTTAGACAGTTTAATTTGTTGTTGAATTTACTTCGTCGACGCTGTCGGCTTGTTAAAATATGGACTGCTAAGGTAAAATATATTCCATGCATTACAAATGCGAAGCATGCTGTAATATAATACAAGTCACATAGAGCACGTGGGAGTCCAATCAACTATCTATCTATGTATGTATATATACGGATATACGCTTGTGCTGCAGGCAGCATCCTTGCGCCCAATCAGTGCAACGATTGTGCGAGCAAATAGAAAATCAAATATTGCAAAAAAAAATATTTACCAGCACAAATATACAGGTAACAGATCAGATCACTGTGCGCGGTATTTTGTGTGACTTGCAGATGCACTAACAAAGGTAGTTCTTTTTTGGCAAAGATAACTAAAATCGTTACAGAACAAATCTAATCAAATCGAAAGACTCTCTTGAAAGTGCTTAAAGTATATCCCTATAACTATATTTTTTTTATAATTCACAACTAGTATAAGCGTAGCTTAAGTCTAGTTTCCATTCTGCTTATATGCATATTTAACACAGCTCCCCCACTTTTAAGTATTTTGTTATTTTTGAGCAGCATACTTTACGGAAATGTGCAACCAGTCTATTCAACAAGCTAATTCGTTCAGCTCTATTCAACAAGTTCAAAGAAGTCATATTTTTCAACTCATATTTGAATAGTTAACACCAGATGCAATCACTAGCCCCTTAAGTATCACAACGAAAGCTGATTAAGGGATTGGATTCTCGCTTCAATTAAATTTTAACAATATACCCTTTCTGTACAGGTTTATAAGAAAAAAACTAGGTTAAAATAGTATGGACTAGCTGGATACTCTACAATTAAAATTGTTGTGCAATTTGTGTTGAGTAGTACTCAACGTTTGCTTCACGTTAAAAGTAACCGTCTTTATTGCTCGATAAAAGGATGTTTTGGATATGCCCATGGATTGTAACATATAATTTCAA